CCCTTGCAATAGCCCTCCCTTTAATGTCCTTCGCATTCTTACAATCCACCTCTTACGTGTTTGATTTGATACAAAAGGATCTTTCAAACACATCATAGTGGTCGTGTGTGCGGGTAGAGCATTTACTATCATGGATGGTATTGTAGAATGGCTGTATTTATTAGGTTGCTCCTCCTTGCATCTCAGAGAAGCAGTTGCCTCTCTAGAACTCTCTCCCATTTGGTTCTACTTTTGCCCTCATGGAGCTAAACAGAATAATTCCACACCCTCCTCCACATTCCAAGACAGTCATCCTTGCCTCTCCTCTGCAGCCCCCATATGCCTTCTTACAGGACATGGGATGTTACTCATTCCTCCCCAGGATGCTCTGTGGTTAGATGGCATTTCCCTTGAAGGGTCATGACTACTCCACCCACCCCCTGCACCTGCATCTGGATGATGTACTCCTCTACTTCTAGTGGGAGAGGAACCTGAGATATGATGTGTCTGGGCCATACAGCAAGATAGTGTAAGAAGTAAGATTTAGTTAGAAGGGTGCATTTAACTGCTTTCAATTAGACATCCCTGCTCTTGGCCTCTTCTACCTGGTTATCAGGATAGGGAAACGGTAAGCCTCGGTGATGTGGGGGTACCTTCAGGCAGGGCATCTCCCTCCTCACTCCACGTTGGGTTCTTTGAGAACAGCACTAAAATCCCCATGCCAAGACACCAGTTGACATTCTCCTTCCTTAGATGGGTAGAAAGTTCTTCAGAAGGTACTGGAAGGATTGAAAGCCGTGTGCCTATCTTCCTGAGTGGATTGGGCTCAGAGATTTGAGGGTGCCTGTATCCCCAGGTAGAATAACCTGCCCTCCTCATCCTTGGCTGTTTTATCCTTATAAGCTCATCGTAGACACCAGTGCTTACATTTCTTTGTTACTGAGATAAAATTGACATACCACAAAGTTAAACAATGTTAGTGGACAATTCAGTGCATTCAGTGTGTGCAACCATCATCTTGATCAAGTATTGCTTATTACACTCCAGTGAAATCCCTTTCTCACCCCAATATTATCATCACCGCAAAAGGAAACCCCCTACACATTAAGCCATTCCCCCTTCCTCTCTGCCTCTGGTAAGCACCAATCTGTGTTCTGTCTGTATGGATTTACCTGTTTTGGATCTCTGATGTAAGTGAGATCCTTCTATTTGTGACTTTTGTATCTTGCTTCTGTCATTGAGCATAACCCTTATGGGCTTCATATACATCATAGCATGTGTCAGCACTTCATTACCTTCTATGGCTGAATAATATTTCACGGGATGTATATACAACCATTTTGCTTATTTATTCATTTCTTGATGGACACTTATGCTGCTTCCACCTTCTGATTGTTGTGAATAATGCTCCAATGAACATGTGTGCATGTGTACTTGTTTGATGACTGGTTTTTAATTTTGGGGGGACCTATATCTAGAGATGGAAATACAGGGTCATAAGATAATTGTATATAATTTTTAAAGGAAGCTATACATTTATTTTTTTTTTAAGTAGCAACTTTACTCTGGAACTTTCCTGCATATGGAGAGACAAGGAAAGTGAGTGAGGAGTAGGAGATCTAGGTTCTTTTCCTGGCTTTACCACTAATCATCTGAGTGACCTTGAGCAAACTATTTCCCCCTTCTGGGCTCTTGTTTCCTCATTTGAAAAGTAAGGGGATTGCATAAAGCTAAGTGATCTTTCAATTCTCTTTTAAGATTTTGTTGGAAAATTTGGGTTCTAGAGAGAAGAGAGAGAATTGTCAAACAGCTAAAAGTAATTATCTCTATGTGCCTTCTCTACTGTGTTTTTAAATTGTGAGTTGAAAGCACCCCCAAATAATTGGGCTTTTTTCCCTTGCCTATGTGTTTTCTAGTTAATAAATAGCTTCTGACTTCCTATTTCCATCAAGATTCCCAGAGCAAGATATCCTTTTCTTGCCCATCACTTCCTACTATTTGGCAGCTCCTGAACAAAACATGGCAGTCGTGAAGCCAAGAAGCCATTCCATCCCCACTGTCCTCCATGGGGAAATGCTGAGCCTCACCCCAAACCTCTCTCAGCACCAAGGTATCAGCTGGATAAACTGAGTCTAGTTTTTGGAGATGTCGAATCCAAGGAGAAGAGTGAGCAGACTCTTCCTGAGCCCATGTAAAGACCATCTTAAAAGGTTAGGAGAAAGAACCAAAGACCTCCTGTGATAATGTCCAGCCAGAAGATTTTCCTCCTTGGGGGATTTCTACTCCTCTAAGCTTCTTTCAGCTGATTGATTTCCTGGCCCGAGTGCAGTGCCTAGATTGGGAGGGAGGTTTTCCTCCACTAATTGGTAGCCTCCACAGCCATCCAAGTCCAAAGCATGTGTTCTCCTGAGTTGCCTGCTGGTTTTCTGGGGGAAACACAAAGTTTAAAAAAAAATGTGATCCAAGTGGTTTATTTCATTCAGTCAGCTATCTATTTGCTCATTTTCATTCACCCATCGCATATTTTTGAATGCTTGCTGTGTTTTCGGCAGCATATTAAATTCTAGGAATAAAAATGAGGCACCTGCCCTATAGAGCCTTCCTCTTTTAATAGGAGATATAGAACATGTAGCTTTTGGAATGAATACAAAGTGACAAGTGCTGGGGTGCCTGGGTGGCTCAGTCGGTTAAGCATCTGACTCTTGATTTCGGCTCAGGTCAGGATCTCAGGGTTGTGAGACTGAGCCTCATGTCAGGCTCCAAGTTCAGCAGGGAGTCTGCTTGAGATTCTCTCTCCCTCTCCCTCTGCCCCTCACCCTGCTCATGTACTCCCTCTCTGTGTCCAAAATAAATAAACTTTAAAACAAAAGTGATAGGGGATCCCTGGGTGGCGCAGCGGTTTGGCGCCTGCCTTTGGCCCAGGGCGCGATCCTGGAGACCCGGGATCGAATCCCACGTCGGGCTCCCGGTGCATGGAGCCTGCTTCTCCCTCTGCCTGTGTCTCTGCCTCTCTCTCTCTCTCTCTCACTGTGTGCCTATCATAAATAAATAAAAATTTAAAAAAAATAAAAATTAAAAAAAAAAAACCAAAAGTGATAGGTGCTATATAATGGGAGGGTGGCATAAATGGTGTTCAGGAGTACAGACAGGGTACACATGAATCATACTTGGCAAATCCTCACGAGAAGGCAGATTCAAAGCGTGTTCTAGACGGAAACTAATCTGCACAGCAGTCACAGAGCAGGACCCAAGAAGGGGTAGGTGACTAATATTGGCTGGAACACAGAACACAGAGGGACAGTGCTGGGAGGGGAGATGCAGAGAGGGCTGCCCTGGGGAGGACATCTGAAACACGTCAAAAGATTTGGCTCTCTGGCAGCTGTGAGCTAGTGAATCTGACTGGCGAGTGGCCTATTTGTATCTGTGCTTTAGAGAAGAGCAAGTCTGGTGATGGTGGAGAATGAGTCTGAGGGGTAAGAGTAGAAGTGGGGAGGGGCGCCCAGCTGTCTCGGTCAGTGGAACGTGCGATTCTTGATCTTGGGGTTGTGGGGTCAAGCCCTACATTGGGTGTAGAGATGACTTAAAAATAAAATCCTTTAAAAAAAAAAAAAAAAGAGTAGAAATGAGGAGAGCACTCAGGAAGCTGTTGTGGTCACTGTCGTGAAACAATGATGACCAGAACCAAGGTAGAAGCAGTGAGAAAGAAGGTAAGTAGATGGAGTCCAGAAATATACGTGAGGCTGGAGGTGGGGAAGGCTGCTGTTGGGCCCAGCTTCCAGGAAGGAAACTGCTGAAATCGGAATCCGAATCCTTTAGCTTGACCCATGTCCTGGCCCAGAAGAGGTGCTTCATCTTCCAGGTCTTAAGCAGAGTAACCTTGTCTCCCAGGAGCCAGCACTGGAGCCGTGCTCCTTTCACCAGTAGGAAATGGATAGATGGGAGATGGTGGTGGGGTACAGGTAAGAGAATAATTCTGGAAGAACCTTCTGCTGCCATCCTCATTGACATGGCCCCATGGCGGAACAGCAGTTTGAAGACAGACCCTATGGCACTCTTAAAGCACTATACCTCACGCCATCCCTGGGCCACTCTTCCTTTTTCAAGTAGAATGAACATACAGTGTTGTATTCATTTCAGGTGTACGATATAGTGATTCAGCAATTCTGTACATTACTCAGTGCTCATGGGGATAAGTGTACTCTTAATTCATTAATTGATTTCACTCACCCCACACCACCTTCCTCAGGCCATTCTGTCTCAGGAGGAGGAGAAAGGGGTTTATCTCTTAAAGACTCATTCCAGGCCCCTTGGACAGTCATTTTTAATCCTTCCCCTTGTAGGGCCTGAAATGACTTGTTATGCTTGAAGATGTGAACATTGGGCTGTCATAATATTCCTCATTCTACCAATCCTCTGGAATCCCCTTCTTCTGGGTCGTAGTCTCAGCATTGCCATTATCTCTAAAGGGACAACATCAGGGACCGCCATATGTTTGCTGCACAAAATATCTGCAGAAATCCATTAAAAAAGAAGTCCTCTGAGCAACCAGATTTCACCTAACTCCACCCAACACAGAGGGGGTCAGAGAAGCTCTAAGATTGGTGTATTTCTTACTGCCCAGTGCATGCAGGTGTTAGACCCGTGAGACAGTGTTTGTTTTCATGATTCTTACATGTAGAGTTGCCCTTCCTTCTACAACAGTGATTCTCAACTGGGCATGGTTTTGTCCTCCAGGGGACAGTTGGCAATGTCTATAGATATTTTTGATTGGGGGCAGGAATGGGCTTTACTGGCATCCAGTGGATAGAGGCCAGGGATGCTTGTAAGCATCCTGCAATACCCAAGATCATTCCCCAAACAAAGTATTGTGGGTCCCAAACATCAATAGTATAAGGTTAAGAAACCCTATTTCAGAACATCGGTCTTTGACCAAACCCTTGAGTTCTTCAGGCCCTGTAGGATTGCTAGAAGAAACCACAAGTTCAAGAAAAACTCACTTGGCATTATATTTCTTTCCACAGCTGAGCTCTGTCCAGGAGGCCCAGTTAGAGCGGCTGGAGGCAGCAAGACCCCGCAAGCCGGGGAGCGGGGAACGGGGCCCAGTGCTGAGGATGGCCAGGCAGCCGCCGCCGCCCTCGGTCCATGCAGCCATCCTGCTCTGCCTCCTCAGCCTCAGTGGGGCCATCGAGATTCCCATGGATCGTGAGTCCTGCTCCATCTCCTTCTTTGATTCTCCTGATTTGGGGCAGAGGAGCTGGAGGGAAGGGATGGTCAGGGGGAAGTTAAGACCAGCTTTCGAAGAGGCGGAGAGAGGAGAAGCAGTGGATTCTGGATGCAGAGCTGGGTTTCCCTCCAAAGAATTGACGCAAGCAGGCTTGTGTTTGGGAATGTGAGTCTAATTGTGTAGCACGATCTCTGAGGACTCTGGCCGAGCCTATACTTGAGCTGCCGGGAGCCTGCTGAGCAGAGTTTTCAGGTCTGTGTGTCACTCAGGAGTTCTTGTCTCCACTCTACTCCCATGGCCTTCTGTGGTCTTGACCTGTCCATCAAAGTGGAGCTTCCAAGGACCAACTGTAGTGGACAGTTATTTGCCTTTCTAATATCCGAGCTGGACCCTTAGGCCATCCTGGCTGGACTGACTGACTAATCAGGGCAGATGGCCTAGGGAGGGTTGGGAAAGGAATTATTTCGCAGAAGACTGGGGCTAAATGAAACATTAAAATAGAGCTCTGTTATAATGCTGCTGTGGGAAAACCAGAAGGCCCTGCTTCCTTCTGTCTCTTTTCACCTCTCCCATGGCAAAGTTGGAAAGTAAAATCCATGGCATTCTGTTTCCCAAGGTGGCGGCGTTACTTGGCCGTCAGAATCGTCAAGTAAGGGGCTTAGGGTGCTGATCCTACAGCCACGTCTCTAGCAGCCATATCCATTGTTACATTCATAAGTGGCCCATTGACTGGCAGCTATGCTCCCGGGCCCCGCATTTAGATGTTTTCCACCTGTGCCACAATTATGGCACTTCCATCAGAATGTCTTGGCATTCCAGTGCTCTGATGTGGGCATACCACCTTGTCCCCTGTTTTCTGCTTCCAGAAATAGATGGGACCAACATGATGCCAACCCTGACTTGGGCTCTGTCCAGGTGACAGATGTCTGGGGAGGGTTGGGAGAGTGATACAGCCTCCAAGCAGTGCCCACTGAGCTCTCCAAAGCCAGGCCCTGGGGCCTGGAGTTAGCACAGCTTGGAGAAGAGTTGCACATACTTCTGCACCCTCCCACCCAATCCTACCAATAATAGCTGCCCAGAGGAGTGGGCACTTCTGGGTAAGAGAAGAACAGCAGAAACTATAAGTTGGACCCAGAAGCAAAATGGGCAAGGCCCCTGCTGCCCTCCTAATAACCCCAAGTGTGTGTGTGTGTGTGTGTGTGTATGTGTGCGCGCGCGCGCGTGTGCACGCGCATGTGTGTATGTATTCGGGGTGGGGGGTGTCATGGAAGGAACTGTTCCCATGGAGACCATCTGTACTGCTAAGTCAAGGTGGAGAGAAGGCCATGTCCCTGGAGAGGAGAGGGGCGCAGAGGAGATTGAGTTATCAAGGAAGTGGTGAAGGCTCATTTCTGCTGCTTCTCCTCACTCATTCACCTGCCACTTTGATCCCTGGGGCTAGTGGGTGAGGGGTTCCTCCAAGATGAACTTATAAATAGATGGCTTTGACATCTATATTGGGAATCTGAATTTCTAAAGCTCTACTGGAGCCGTGGGCAGGTGACCCAGCAGTGAATGTCTCCAAAGTACCATGTGTGGGGCAGAGAGCTGCAAGTGCCCTGACCTCCCCACATCCATCTCTCTGTCTCCTCAGTGTCCATGAGGAGGGTCCCCACTTCTGGGATTGTATTCAAGGAAGCACAGATCTTCCTTGCTTTGAGTCACACGGCGAATGGGTGCTGGATTCATGAATAGAGCCCAGGTCTCTTGACCTCCCATGAGGTTGGCATTCAGCACAACTCACCCCTACCTCTGGTAATCCCACCTTCTTTCAGTTCTTGGATCTCACCAGAGTAGTAGCTTCCATGCACCCTGCCCAGAGCTAAGTGCTTTCCAAGAGCCTTCTCTGATTCTCACAGCTCATCCTTTGGGGATAGGTTAGAAAACTAAGGAGCCGTTCTCTCCAGCTCATACATAGCAAGGCCAGCACCTCTCTGAATGAGGATGTGAATCCTTTTGTAACACCATGCCTGGTACCCCAGCTGTGTCACAGCAGGAAACTCACAATACCTTCCTGGAGCAAGTGTGCCTCCTGCACACTGGACCTCCCAGTGGCTGCAGGCACAGCGGCTATGGTGACATCTCCAGAATGAGTCTACTAAAGCTGAATGCAAGGTGAGAAAAGGCCAGCCAGCCCTTCAGAGGGGACCCAGTTGCCCCAGGAAGAGCCCCTGTTTAGCCAGGTCTTCCTCTCCTGCTGGGCCAAGCATGACAGACACCCCAGCCCAAGATACCTGAGCCCAATCCTTCCCTCTTACCCTGGGCTGAGGCCCAGTGGGATGGGCTGGGGAAAGATCACACATTCTTTTTCCTCCTCCCGCCAGAGTATTTATTGATATACAACATATGTAAGTTTAAGGTATACAACTTGATGATTTGCTACGTGTATGTATTATGAAATGATTGCCCCGTGGGTTAGTTTATACATCCATCCCCTCACCTTATTACCTTTTGTGTGCATGTGTAGTGATAACTTTGAAGAGCTACTCTCGAAACAACTCCCAGGTACATAATATGTACACTCGGCCCCTGGAACATATCCATCTTATAGCTGGAGATTTGTACCCCTTGACCAGCATCTCTCCACTTCTCCCACCCTTGGCTCCTGACAACTACCATTCTACTCTGTTTCTTTGAATTTGACTTTATTTAGATTCTACATATACTGAACAAATGCCAGATCTTTCTCTGACTTAAGGTCCTCAAGGCCTATCCATGTTGTCACAAAAGGCAAGGGAGATGATACCTGCAGCCTCTGATTACTGTGGCATCATTCACAATAGCCCAGATGTGGGGCAAGTGAAGATCAGGGCTCCGAACTTTCTCTGTGTGTTGCTTGGGAGTGGCTGAGGAGGCTCAAACAGGAGGTGGCCCTGTCAGGTATGCCCTTCCGCTCGCCTGCCCCTTTGGGGGGCAGTATCTGTACCGTGAGGACCCGACATTGCTTCTACTCTGGGGCGTTTGGGCCCAGCAGGCTTCCTGGAACAGCCCGGGGCTGCGACACAATCCCTCATTGAAGCACCGGCCTCCAGCCCCTGCTGCTCTGCCAACAGAGTCACACGCACCCACCTCCCCCCTCATCAGCCCCAAGGAGAACAGCGTGACCTTTGAAGAAAGCAAAGGGTCGCCTCATCAACAAGAGTGGGTTTGCCAAAAAGTGAGTCTGCTGGCAGCTCCGTTCTCCTCCCCACATCAAGGGACTTGGCATATTTCTCCTAGGAACTCACAGAGGATACAGTGAGGTGGGAGAAACATTTTCTCCTTACTGTCTTCCCAAATAGTGCTGCAAGATGACCTCAGCACATATCACACATGTGCACACGTGCACGTGGACACACACACACACGCATTGACACAAACTGCATCCTCCAGGAATTGATGCCAGGGCATGTAGATACCAGCCAGGGAAGGAGAAGAAGTGCAAGGATAAAGAAACCTTGCAGGCCAGCAGGCTTCTGCTTTACCCCCTGCAGAACTTGTTGGGAGATTTCCCCTCCCCCTCGTAAGCCAAAAGAGCAAACTCACTTTCCACTTGACAGTTACCAGTAAGTTTTGTAGATGGAGAGAAGGGCAGGTGGCATGACACAGGGTCTGGGGGGTGAGGATCACAGGACTATGTACGTTGTCCTTATCCCCAGGCAGCCGGTCCTCCCTGTCCTCTCCCTGTGCTGGCGTGTCTTCTGGGTTGGTTCTGTCTCTGTAATAAATTCCTTGGTGGCATATGGTGGTTGCAGATGTCATTACCTCTCAAGAGGCCCCGGGCCTGGGGACAGCATCCAGCCTCTGACTTTTGTCAGAATATCAAGGAGAAGAGAGTGCTGGGGCCCCACCTGACCAACCCACGTCTCTGGCCAAGGATGGATTTGCAAAAAGAGCTTTGGATCAGACCACAGGAGAGCTGGTTTCTCATTCCAGTTCTGCAGCAAATTTCCTATGTGACCTTAACCGAGTGGCTTCCCTTCTAAGAATCTGAGATTCCCTGGATAATGCCTAGGGCTTTTTCCATTGAGCCAGCCCTTGATTTTATAAAAGAGAGGCTTGAAGGCCATGTGGGCCAAGCAGAGCCTCTGCCAGGGCAAGGACAGAGCCCTCCACTGTGTGTGGAGACCGAAGAGACATCAACTGTGTCTTGAGATGAAGAAACTGCTGGCCTGATGGTCAAAAGGAGTAGATCCAGTGTCCACCCTACTTACCTGAAAATGGCCCCTTCTCCCTACCTGTCCTACATGCCTCACCATACTGGCTTTCCAGAATTGCCTTTCTTGGGCCCCTGGTAGGAAACTCTTATATGGATGAAGATGCCACCATGGGGGAGCTCCAGGGAGCATGTGTTAAAAAACCACAGGTTTCTGCTTTTCCCCAGGACTTGTCATTTCTTTCTATTTCCTGCCATGGCTGTACCCAGGCAAATGGTAAAGCAGATAAAATTTCACTTCAATGCCCCAGCAGGCCACACAACCCTGGCCCACGTGAAAGAATCATTCTGAACCCTTTCATGCATCTTTCTCAAGACTTTCGCTTACTGACAGTGTGTATAGCAGGGCACTCATTCCTGCCCCAGTCAGGCTTTCCTCTTTAATGTCTGTCTTCTCTCTCGTGACTCTTGTGGCACTTGGGTCCTGCCTTCACTCTGCCTTCTCCACGGTGTCCCCTCTCTGGGCCCCTAAACCCCTCTTCTTGCTGTGGCTGGGTCAGAAAGTGTCGAGGTCACCTTGGCTCACCAGCAGCCTCGGCTTCCCCAGAAAGCGGCCACTGGGAACAAATCAGCCCGCAACACCAACACTTATCTGACATCTGCACTTGGTGTGAAATAAGATGGGCGTATTACCTCATTCTAGACTCATAAAGAAAAGGCCTCTTACAAAGTGGCAGAAACACATGTTCTCTTTTCTGCAAATTTTAACCAGGACCTTCTCCCCCAGAAAGTATATCACCGTTGAAAGTGTTGCTGTTTGAAGCGTGGTACCCAGTTCACCAGTATCAACACCACTTGGCTGCTTGTCGAAATGTAGGATCTGCTCAGTCAGAACGTGCATTTTAACCAGACCCAGCTCCCCTCCCCTCCCCTCCCCTCCCCCACCAGCTGATTTATATTCTTGTCAGAGTTTGAGAAGCCCGACCCCAAACATGCACATATACCTGTACACAGGCATGAGCACGTCTCAGACGAGGGCTAGGGAAGATTTGGGCTGCCCACCTCTTTATCCCTTCCGTAAAAAGCACAGAAAAGAGTGGTGGACTCCGCTTCATCCCTGTAGTTGTTTGGAAGAAGGATTTCCACAGGGCAATGTACTTCTGCCATGAGCAGGGCGACAGTGATTCATCGATCTCTAGAATTTTCTGATGCATAGGCAGGAAGGTGCTTGCATGTGTGACAGAGAAGAAGGTACAGAGGGAGGAATGAAGCCTGGGGACCATGCTGGGCCCTTGAGGCTGTGCCCTGGAGCCCTGGTTCAGATCAGCTGCTGCCCAGACTTCTCAGCCCCACACGCCGCGGGCCAGGAAGCCGCTTTCCTCAATGGCATCTAGACAGGATAGGCAATGTCTTCAGAGCCCGGCCTCTTTTCTTTTTATTATTTTATTATTATTATTATTTATTTATTTATTTATTTATTATTATGATAGTCACAGAGAGAGAGAGAGAGAGGCAGAGACACAGGCAGAGGGAGAAGCAGGCTCCATGCACCGGGAGCCCGATGTGGGATTCGATCCCGGGTCTCCAGGATCGCGCCCTGGGCCAAAGGCAGGCGCCAAACCGCTGCGCCACCCAGGGATCCCAGAGCCCGGCCTCTTTTAAGCAGCTCTGTCACTTGCAATATTTGGACTTCCATGGTGACAACGTTTGGTCAGAGGCTGGTCTTTCTGCTCAGCTGTATGGTCTGCGCTCCCTGTGGAGGTGCTCTCCACACAGGGCTCCCTGGGCCTGTCCACGCCTCCGTGTGGCTGTCCCACCGAGCTCTACAGCCGGGAGCAGAGAGCTCAGGCGCTGCGCCCGGCCCAGGCCGACCTCGGTGCTCCCTGCAGGCTGGGGCGTGAGCAACCTGCGGCAGGTGGTCACATGCGATAACCTATAACCGATGTCTTCTTCTCTCCCCTCCCAATGCTAACCCGTCGGAACTAACAGCAAGCATTCAGAATGAGCGTAAGTCCCCTCTGCCCAGCACCTCTCTGCTCTTGAGCCTCTGGGAGGTAGGAAGCCCGCAAGAAGCAGGGGAGAAGGCCGAGTGAGGAGTTACGGCGGGCGGGCGGGCGGGCTGGCTGGGGGGGGGGGTGTTTCTCCATCACTCCACCCTGCCTGCTGGGGCTTTTTGACACCAGAGTCCCTGTGGTGCGGCCCCTGCCACACAGGAAGGGAAGGGGCTCACCCAGGGCATCCCATGGCTGGAAAAGGCAGAGGGGTAGGTGGTACAAAGAGCCGCTGCTCTCTATCCCCTGCTGGCTGGCATAGGAGCGCCATGAGGAGCACTGGGGGTGGACACCAGGAGTGAGAGGAGCTAGCAGACAAGTCCCCAGGAACTGAAGCCTCTGAGCTCCAGCCTCACCACAGTCTGGCCGTGAACCATCATGGCCACTGCGCTCTGGAAAGCTAGCTGCTTTATGTTCCTTTATTCATTCAGCAAATATATGTCAAGAAGTCTCATGCAGAAAGCATTGTACTGAGTGTTGAGATATAAGAATGGGTAAAACAGAAGTGTCTCATGCGAATGCTGTGAGGTCTTAAAGGGATTTTTCTTATGCTCAGTCCTTGCCATGACCCCCCTTTCCTGTGGTCGTGTTTAAAGAGCTGGGTCCCTGGAATGGGGCACTGCCCACCCCCTGCTTGCCTGCTTGTCATGTGGCTCTCGAAGCTCTTATTTTCAGCCATTCCCCAAGCCAGGGCCCCGGGCAGGTCCCCAAAGCCCTGACCACCCACTGTCTGTGCTCTTGCAGTATCCCAGCCCCCAACCATCACCAAGCAGTCAGTGAAGGATCACATCGTGGATCCCCGTGATAACATCCTGATTGAGTGTGAAGCAAAGGGGAACCCTGCCCCCAGGTGAGTGCGCTGGCAGGTCAGTCCAAGCCCCCCCCACACACACACACACAGACAAAGAGGAATTGAAACCACACTCTTGCCTTGGCCCTGATGATGATTGAAGATGCTGAAAAATTCAGAGCAGAGATGACAGGACCCCATGCAGGGTGTTTGTCAGGAGAAACCAGGGAGGGCAGGACCTCGAGTGTATGGCAGCCTTCTTCCGCCACATCCCTCAGCCGGTTTGCAGGAGCCTGAGCACAAACAGGGCCTCTCTCACCCAAAGTGGAAGAAGCAGGGCCACCCGGAGAGGTGAGGCCTTCTGAAGTTTGGTCTTCCCATCATCTTCTCTCTGCAGGGACAATGATTCTGTGACCCTGAGCAGCCACTACTGTCCTTGTCACCTTTTAAGCTTATATCCTGGGTGGCTGCAGATGCACATGCCCACCCCCAGAAGCATAGGGAGAGTCTAGTGTCTTCACTTCTGGGATCAGTTTTATGAAGGCTACGGGTCCCTTCAAAGCTGCCCCTCCTGGGCTATAATGTGTGGCCCTGCTTTAGACTCTGCACCGACTGAGCAGGGCACAGATACCCAGGGCCATTATTGGGCTTTGGTTTTAGAGTCGGTTATCAAACAAGGAGACAGGAGAAGCAGAGTTAGCTACCTAATGTGCTTGGCTCGGGTCAAATATGAATTCAGGTTTGCATTCGTAATCGGAGGTTGGGATGTCCTGGGGTGGAAGCATCTGCTGACTCTGGATTTTAAAAAAAATCAAAGTCCCTGCCCACTCCTGCAAAGAACATAATCCCCCAGTGGTGACCTGGGTATCTATCGCCGACAGCCGTACCCAGCCTTGGCTGGTTAGAAGCACTAATGTCAGGAACCTGTCCCCAGAGAGTCACTTGGCTGTTACCTGGGACTCTGCATTTTATCAGGCTTCCCAGCCCGTTCTGCCACTTAGCCAAGGTGGGGACGCACTAGTGTGGAGGTGTGATTACGGGACCAGGTCAGGGACCAGGGCCCTGAGGTTCTCCCTGGAGCCCAGCACCCACCTGTTTCCTCTTCATCGCCCCTGCTGCTCTCTCCACCCCCTCTGTCCACAGCTTCCACTGGACTCGAAACAGCAGGTTCTTCAACATCGCCAAGGACCCCCGGGTGTCAATGAGGAGAAAGTCTGGGACCCTGGTGATCGACTTCCGTAGTGGTGGGCGGCCCGAAGAATATGAAGGGGAATACCAGTGCTTCGCCCGCAACAAATTTGGCACGGCCCTGTCCAATAGGATCCGCCTGCAGGTGTCCAGTGAGTAACGTGGGGTGGGACTGGTATGCCTTGCTCCCGAGTGAATGGTGGGTAGGGAGCATAAAGGATCATTCTAGAAGGGCCACCTTTGGCCAATTGGTGCCTTGGCACCCTGCATGTCCTACTTGCTGTTCTACCTCTGAGCAGGAGCACACCTCTCACTACTCAGAAAGATTCCTTAGAAAGGAGGCTTCCAAAGCAGAGTCTCAACCTCACCGGCACTCTGGACACGAGAGGAGAAGACGGAGAGGAGCTTTTGGAGAGAGCTTCTATAGACAGAATGCCTCTCCTCTCTTGCTGCACCTCGCCTAGACTCACAGGCCCTCTCTTCTCCCTCGATCTCCCATTTGGCCTTCCTCCTTATATGCCTGCCTTGAACCATGCTCCTTACCCTGGCCCCAGCCATCACCTTCATTTCATGCTCCTCTGTCTGATTCTCCCCAGAGTCTCCCCTGTGGCCCAAGGAGAATCTAGACCCAGTCGTGGTTCAAGAAGGTGCTCCCTTGACACTCCAGTGCAACCCTCCACCCGGACTTCCATCCCCGGTCATCTTCTGGATGAGCAGCTGTAAGTCTTGGGGGCCTGGTGTTTGGTTTCTACTTTCATCTTAGGGAGTCGGTTGGGTGTGTTAAATAGGAGGGGTTTGCCCAAGGTTGGAAGACCTTGACACATGAGAAGCAGGTGTAAGGGGCCATGTGGCTGAGAAAACATCGAAGCTGCTCGGGCTCCTTTCCCAACCCAGCAGCTATTGGCTGTGTAATCAAAAGCAAGATGCTTAACATCTCTGGGGGCCTCAGTTTGCTCTTAGAACCAGATGCTCAGTAAGTGCTCAGTAATATTTGTGATGATGAAGAGGAAAAGCAAGAGAAAAGGAAAGGAGGAGGAAGAGGAGAAACTGTTGGTCAACAGGCCAATTAAAGGCAGGTTGACAGCAATTGCACTGCTGGGGATTTGCCCCAAAGATACAGATACAATGAAACACCAGGACACCTGCACCCCGATGTTTCTAGCAGCCATGTCCACAATAGCCAAACTGTGGAAGGAGCCTCGGTGTCCATCGAAAGATGAATGGATAAAGAAGATGTGGTCTATGTATACAATGGAATATTACTCAGCCATTAGAAACGACAAATACCCACCATTTGCCTCAACGTGGATGGAACTGGAGGGTGTTATGCTGAGTGAAATGAGTCAATCGGAGAAGGACAAACATTATACGGTCTCATTCATTTGGGGAATATAAAAAATAGTGAAAGGGAATAAAGGGGAAAGGAGAAACAGTAAGTGGGAAATATCAGAAAGGGAGACAGAACATGGAAGACTCCTAACTCTGGGAAACGAACTAGGGGTGGTGGAAGGGGAGGAGGGCGGGGGGTGAGAGTGACTGGGTGGCAGGCACCGAGGTGGGCACTTCATGGGATGAGCCCTGGGTGTTATTCTGTATGTTGGCAAATTGAACACCAATAAAAAATAAATTTATTATTAAAAAAAAAAAAAGGCGGGTTGACACCAAGCCTCCTTTCAATCTCTGATCAGTGTGAATTTGCTAAGTGCTGCCCTCATAGGACAGAGGGAGCTATAGGAATGAAACCTTTGATAAAGAAGACATGGAGAAACCGGATGTTTGCAGCCAGCGGACAGAGTATCATCACTGAGAGCTTGTCCTGTTTCATTTTGGATGGAGACTCATTTACTCAGGACCTCAGTTTCTTCCCATGTTCAATCAGAATTAGTGGGGGTGTGTTATAAAGGTACCTGGAGCATTGCCAGCTGTGTCTTCCTGGCTTCCCCTCCCCCTTCTCCATACCTGCTCCCCATCTGTCCACCCATCAGTCAGTCTACAGATCTGCCTGCCTGCCTGCTTAGCATCCATCAACCGTCCATCCCTGAAGGAGGCAGTGTTGTGAGCTGTTTGGCAGTGCGAGTATGGCTTTGTGTTCACCCATTGTCTCCTTCTTCATCATTTTGGTGCATATGCATGGGGAAGACTGCCTGGCCACAGGCTGGAGAGTAGGTTGGTTCGCTAACTATTCAGACTCTCTTGTCCCCTGCATCATGCCTGTCACCAGCTTATGTCTGTGCTGCCTCCTGAGTAGATCTCATTACCCTTCTCTTTCCATCATCACTGGCATCTCCCCAGTGCAGGCCACTATCAGCTTTTCCCTGGCTGCAGTAATCATCAGTAACCACCTCCCTGATCTTTCTAAAAACATATATCGGATCGTTTCATTCATATGCTCCAGGCCCTTCACTGGCTCCTCCATCACCTCGGACAAAGTCCAGATATCTTTCCCTTCCTGATCTGGTTCCCTCTGCCTCCCCGGCCCCTCTCCTACCCCCTACCCCGGCTGTGTGCTCTTACCTTTAGCACCCACTGTTCCTGCTGCTTAGAAACCTCTTAGGGCCCCTGTCTCTTCTGCCTAATGTCATGCAGCCTCCAAGTCTGAACTCAGGGCAGGAACTCCGTGCTCTTCCCCTCCGCTCATCCTCTTCTTACCCAGGCTTCCCACTCACCATAGTGTATAGTGATGATTTCTTTACCCACCACCTCTTCTACTAAGCCGCAGGCTCCTTGAGGGCAGGAACTGTCTTACTCATCTCTCTTTCACCAATACTAGGCACAGTGTCTGGCACACAGTAGGCCTGCAGTATATCTTTGATGAAAGATATTGGAAAGTTGGAAACTTCCCGTCATTGGAAAGTTGACATCATTAACCTGTGCTTTAAGAAATGGTGACTTAATAAACAGTTGTGGGGAATAGGAAAGAGTTAGCTACAAATAGTCAACCTGACAAGTATGCTTTTACAGACCAAATAACCCGGGCACCTGGTCATTTGAAATGACATCTGATGCTTCAAAAATCATAGGTAATGTAGTGCTTATCCTCAGCCACTCCCGTGATGTCATTAATTCTGAAAAGCATCATTTTCATATTTTAACATGCCTAAAATTAGAAAGCATCCTAAAACTGATGGTGTGCATTAGTGATTAGTATGTATCTTACAACTGTAATTGGTAGTGCTTTTCTCTTTCCTGGTGGGAGCGAGAGCTTAAAAAGGAAAACAAGTGTAATCCATGGGACGCCTCAGTGGCTCAGTGGTTGAGCATCTGCCTTTGACTCAGGTTGTGATCCTGGGGTCCCAGGATAGAGTCCCACATCAAGGTCCCCACAGGGAGCCTGCTTCTCCTGCCTGTCTCTGCCTCTCTCTGTATCTCTCATGAATAAAAATAAAATCTTCAAAAAAAAAAAAAAAGAAAGAAAAGAAAAACAAGTGAATTTGACTCCTGATTTGGGAAGCTATGATCCCAAATCAGGAGTCAAAGATCTGAAGGGCTATGATCCCTCCCTCTCATTCAGGGCCAGTCAGAGCTTTCGTGACATGAACAGGAGCCAGAAAAGTATGGGCATGGTGGGTAGACAGGTCTAAATCTAAATCCTCCTCTTCCCACACTGTTTTTGCAACCCAGGACACTTTAAATTCACTGCTTTCTTATTTGTCAAATGGAAATAAGCCCTACCTTAGAGTTGAGAGCAGGAGACCAAATAATGAACTCCTGCCCCCACCCCACCCCGGGGCTCTGTAGGTGCTCCATCACCTGCCCTATCACGATGATCACTTCTGTTACCATGACTGCTCACCCCTCTCCAAACCTCTGCTTCCTTACAGCCATGGAGCCCATCACTCAGGACAAGCGTGTCTCTCAGGGCCACAACGGTGACCTGTATTTCTCCAACGTGATGCTTCAGGATATGCAGACAGACTACAGCTGCAACGCGCGCTTCCACTTCACCCACACCATCCAGCAGAAGAACGCGTTCACCCTCAAGGTCCTCACCAGTAAGTGCGGGTCCCTGCCCGGGCCTGGGAGCCAGGGGCAGAAGCCCGCTGAGCCCAAGGAGCCCCAGGAACCTGGGGCTGAGAGAAGCCTTGTCCCTAACTAAGGCTGACCCAGAAATCCTTCCAGCTTATTGTCCCCGAGCTACTTCAGCAGCTCTTAATCAACCTCTCTTGATCTTGAAGGCTTGAGTTCGAATTGGTCCTCCTCTTGCTCAGTGCTTCTCAGGCTCCAGGGTCAGGCTGAACCACCCGGCCCACTTGGCCGCTGTCCCAGGCCTGTCGAGCCTGCCTCCACGGTCCTGCCTCCGTGTCCTCCGGTAGCTCACCAGGTGCTCCGGACACACACCAGCACGGACGGGACGGAGAAGCGCAGCGTTCAGTGTGGTCATCCGGCATCTCTTCCGTGCACACAGCTGGAGGATTTCTTTTCTATCTAGTCACCATCTGGTTGTTTGTACTTCTAGCAAAATGCCACAGTACAGAATGTCCAAATCAGCAGGGACCCCTCCCCCCCCACAACGTGAACTGTGTTTGATTCGTGATATGTACATGCCGGACCCCTTGGAATAACAACATTTTCAAGCTGCAGATTTATGATCTAGTTGTATGTGCTTTCATTTTTTATTTCCTGATTCTGTTTGGCTGGTCCCAAAGGGAGTCAGCATTTCCTGACCCCGCATAGCGTGGGTACCAGGCCCTCTGCAGAAGAGAGAACTGAGTTGTCAGTTCACAGACCCGCAGTTGGGGATCTGCTGGCTTGAAGCTCTGGCTGCAAATCCTTAGCCAGCCTAGGACACTGAATTCAGAGTGGCTGTGTTAGTTTGCACCGTGGATTTGTAAGAGGCCTTCTAGAGAGCGCTTCCCCTGCCCCAAAGACCTCAGTCTGTCTGACTCAGCTGTGAATGCTGGATTCCACACAGGGGACAGTGGTGGTGGGAGAGGCCACGCAAAAGGAGAGGCCATGCAAAGGCCACACTGGCAGCTGCCCCAAGTTAGAGAAGAAAGCCTGAACCCCGGCTTCCCCAAGCCCACATGCCTCTCTGGGGGAATGGGGGAGAGGCACAGGGAGCTGGCTTTTCCCTCAGGACAGCTGGTGGCCTGGTCTTCTTTCCTCAGCAGCCCCTGCCAGTGATGGAGGCTGGTGGTGCCGAGAACCCCAGCCCCCACTCTGTTTCCACCCAGCATCGAGGCAGACCCACAAGAAGCAGTTTCCTTCTCATTTCTTCTCCCTGTGAGAGTTTTTTCTCTTCTTTTCATTGTCTTCCCTTTGCTTTCTCACTTCCTTCCTATTTCCCTCCATCCTGCTTCCTTTCTTCTTTCCACCTTTCATTTTCTCTCTCCTTGAACCCTATCTACTTGCCTCCAGCACTCTCAGCAGCTCTGCAGCTCCCCCACACACTGTCCGGAGTTGGGGTCAGGCAGCCCGCAGTTTGCTAACCAGCGGGATAGCCAGAAACCCCAGGGTAAACCCCAGGGTAAGCCCCACGTGCTCCTGGCAGTGGACCCAGCTTTGGTCTCTGCCGCCCCCTTGCTGGCCTTCTTATTCCAGACCCAGGCCCAGAAGGAACCCCTGGAGGAGAAAGTCGGTTGTCCGAAGTGTCTAGTGCACGTCAGCAACCTGCCAGCTGACTGAGCTGGGGAGGTCAGTGTGGTCTGCCTAGGACCTCAGAGTGGCCTGCGGGGCCAGGACGGGGCTGGCAGTGTTGGGCAGTGAGGGAGGCTGGAGCATGAAGCAAGATGCTCACCGAGCTGATCCCCCAGACAGCCTTAGTGTCATCACCTGGATTCCTCTCTGCCTACCTAGTGTGATGCTTCAAGTCAGGCACCTGTTTGGGGACTGAGTCAGGTGACCTTCCACAGTCCTGGATGAAGGCCCTCCAGGTCACACAGGCTAGAGGCAGGGAGGTGGAGGTGGCAAAGAGCCTTCCTCTGTGGAACTAGGCAGTAGAGATTATCAACAACATTTAGAAGTTGGACTTTCCAGAAACACCTTTTTCTCTACCAGAGGAGGTAAGGGCTGTTTGTTTCTTCTTTATTTCTGGGTCCCCTTACTCCACTGAAAACTCCTCCAAATGCCAAGAACCTCCCCCCAGCCCCTCCCAGGTGATGGGAACAGAGCCCTGTCTGCTTCCTGGAGTTCTCCCAGGGGCAGCTTTGGCCAGGAGCAAGTTCTGGGCATCTGAGCCAGCCCAGAATTGGGCACAGTTGCTTAAAATAGCACAGTTGTGCTCTCTTTGCTTTCCTGCCTGGAAAGGACACAGGCTCTTTCTTGTACCTTCAGAACCAGGTCTGGGGGTGGGAGGCAAAACAGCCATGCTGGGACAGCTTCAAAGTCTCTCCTCACCGCGGGTTTCCATCACAGTTTGCTCCTTGGGGGAAGAAACCAATCTCATCATGGCTGATTTTGCATTACCTACATTTAAGGAAGGGCGGGGGGCGGGGGGAAGGTATCTAATACAAAACACTGGGCGATCTGAAACCATTTTTAAAATTTGTTCTGGGATGCAAAGACAACAGTGAAGTCAGGCCAACAGAGTTGTACTTGTCCCACTTTGTCCAGACCAGAACAGGCCCCTTTGGGTGCCTTCTGCCACAATAAGAGGTGACCATGGTGAGGGAGAAGGATTCTCTCCTGAGCCAGACACAGGAGCACTAACTCTGCTTCCTCCTAATGTCTGCTGTCTAAGTGACACTCTTAGGAGTCAGAAAGTCTCCCTGAATTTCTCAGATGTGCTGGAGGATCCTCAAGCTGTGAGATCACTTCTAAGCTTGGATCGCTCCTCTGCAAAGAGAGCAGTTGTATTTCACCTGGTGGCACGCGGGCTCCGGAGTATGAAGCCAAAGGGCCCATTTAGCTGTGTGCCCTTGTTCTCCCCCAAGAGAGAGGAATGCCCCCTCCTCGAGTGCATCCTCATTCCCTCCTCCCCTCTGCCACCCTGCCTCTTTATTCCACTGCAGGTTGGTTCCCACCCATTGCTCCAGATGAACCCAGGCTGACTTCTCAAACAGGCTCTGTCTTTCCACAGACCGCATCTTAAGGGGGTAGTTCTGGATAAAGCAGATCTCCCTACTGGGCTGGGCGTTAAGCACTTTTGGGAACCCAGACACTACGGGTCCCAGCAAAGAGTGAGCACAGCCTCTGCAATCAATTGTAACAGTTGATCTGTCTTCAAATATGCAAATATTCCGGCACAGCGCGTCTCCTCCCTCGAGCGTTTGGACCAAGCCTGGCTTCCCTGGGCTGTCTGCTTGGCTTCCAGTCGGCTGTACCCGCCCCTCACCCCCTTGGGGACTGTCAAAACTTGAACCCAGTAGCCAGACAGGGATGGCGGTAGAATGAAAAGCCTAGCCTTGGCAGGCTTAAGTGCCTTATTCCAAACTGTCTTTCACCAAGGATTAAATGCCCAGGGGTCTTAATTACCTAACACTGGAATCAAAGCCACCAGTCTGCTCCTGAAGAACCCAAGCCAGTCTAGGAGCTCTGAATCTCCAGCTCACTCAGAGGGCCTTGCCCATCCAAGTGTTGGACTTCTAGCCCATTATACGCTCTCTCCTGCCCAGGCTCCCTTTCTCTTCCAAAAATCTGAACCGCAGCCTGGATCTCTCTGCCTCCCGAGAAATTCTGGCCTCCTCAAAAGAAGGCCTTTCTGCCACTGGAGGCATCTCAGAGACCAGGATGGTGCCCATTGGTCAGGTGGGGGAGGGCTGCTTGCTGCTGGTTAGCACATGATCGCTGGGCGCGGCCAAAAGTCCCTCTGTCGTCCTCTCTCAAATTATGAACTGTATTTCTTGGACTGTCTTCTCTCCCTGGCCTCCCACCTTTGCATCTTAGTTTCTGCCCAAGGAGGGCTTTGCTCTTTTCCTCAGGGATCACTCACATTCCTTTCTCTTTAGCTACCCCAGGAGCTGGCCTGATCCAGAGTCCTGGGAACTGAGGATTTTGATGGGAAGTTGTTCAAAAGACTACTACGGGATGCCACTAATCCTTATCTCATTTGTTTGAAACACAGTAGGATCAAGCCATTAAAGGTCAAGCCTAATTTCTTTCATTAAAAAGAAATTTCTTTTATTATTGCCTTCTTTTGCAGGATTTAACCTTTTCTTCCCTTTTTTGGGTTGTTTTATGTTGCTTATTCTTCACCAAGCACATTTCCTTTCCAAATATGCCGTGTCTTTCCTTTGCAAAAACACCAGTTGTTTTCGTGGCTTTGCATTTCTGTTGTTTGCCCCCTGTTTATGCCTCCACAAGCGCTCTGTGGCCTCCTGTTTGCTCACCCTCTTTTGTTTATTGCAGACAACCCCTATAATGACTCGTCCTTAAGAAACCACCCTGACATGTACAGTGGTGAGTCGCCGTGGTAACCTTGGGAGTAACCTTGCCTGTCCTAACCCCAGTTCTCCTAACCTGACTGATACCGTGTCATTAACTCACTCGGGGTGTCAGGACTGACCGTTGCCCAGACCAGGGTGCTGAGGTGGCCCCTTCCAGACACTGCTCTCCCGGAGGACAGTGGCCAGTTTGGGAGTTTGAGGTAGCCCACGTAGTGGTTTCCCAGCACGTGCAAGCCTCTAGTCACTGAGATCTGGACAGGTTGGTCAGACCAGGGCAAGACGTCAAAAGAGCTTCTTGGCGAGTTCAGTAGAAACACAGGAATCATAGGACCCAGTGGTGGATGGATGGAGAGTATCTGAGGATAGATGAGTCTGCACAGTGAGGGGGGAAAAGGAAGGAGGAGGTTTAGAGTACACGAAGGAAGCTTTGTGATATATCTAGTTAAGTCTTAAGTGTCTGGATGTGAACTGCCTGCCTTGTAATCTTGCCTTAGTTACCGGGGGCACCCCTTCACAAGCCCCATGTCTCTTTAAAATCCCTTTGGAAAATATGAATAAGAGTCCAGCCCTGAGTTCTCTTTTGAGGTAAGTATAAATGAAGATGAGCCATGCCTGGCCTCAGTTGCTTCTCTGCTCTGGCAGTGTGTGCAAATCCAGTGCCCACCAGTCCACACACTTGCAAGTTGTGGAACAGTTTCCATGAGGCATATTTCTTTCTTTTCTTTCTTTCTTTCTGATAGTCACAGAGAGAGAGAGAGAGAGGCAGAGACATAGGCAGAGGGAGAAGCAGGCTCCATGCACCGGGAGCCCGACGTGGGATTCGATCCCGGGTCTCCAGGATCGCGCCCTGGGCCAAAGGCAGGCGCCAAACCGCTGCGCCACCCAGGGATCCCCCATGAGGCATATTTCTAACTCATCACACAACTGGTTGCTCAGGCTGAGTAGTAGAGTAATTAGCTATTTCCACACCTGAGCCACCCCCGCCCCCCACACACTCCCCCCGCCACCCCCACCCCCCATGGCTCGGGAATGTCTTGTTTTCCTTGAGCAGCCAGAGGGAACGTCATTTGCTGGCTTTGGTGAGGCAGCTGGCCCCCATCATCACTTATGCCTCAGAAGCTGAGGCTGCAGGTCCCCAGGGGTGTCATTGTGGGCTCAAATAGATAGGAAGTGTCTGCACTGAGATGTGCTAATATAAACAACGATCGCAGTCTGGAGCGGGGGATGGGAAGAGAGTGAGAGTGAGAGCCCCGGAAAGAGGCAACGGCTCTAACTTGACATCAGGCGGCTAGAGCCACACTGAGACTCTGCCAGAGAGATTTACTGCCCAAGGAAGCAGGGGACCTTTGTTGGATTCGGGGCATTGTTTGTTTTCAAAATAATGGGGCCCAACCACCATTGTGTCAAGAGCGGCCAGAATATTGGTGTGGAATGTGCCTCTCTCTAAATTGGATTTCAGGTAATCTATTATGGAAGTATTCTTGAAGCTAGAGCATGTCAGAGCCAGAAGGTCCCTTAGAGACCATCTGATCCAAGCACCTCACTTTGTATCAGATAAACCATTCAGGGGAACATGCATGTAGAATTGTTTTATCAATGGGATAAGTCTGAGTGATTCCAGCCAGTTAAACTTCGTGACCAGTTATAGATGTGACTATAAGTGAAGGAGTGGGAGTTCTAAGAAACATCCAGGGCTGTGAAACCAAGCAAACTTTGCAAGAACTCACGTGGAGATCGACCCGTTCTCAATCCAGGGTAGGATGAATGAAGCTGACCTAAGCATGAAGCCAGCTGGAAAGGATGTAAAGTCAAAGTGAGACATATGCTGAACAAAGCACACCAAGGTGAATGCTTCTAGAAAGACAGAGAAAGTGGAAAGGAAGGAAGATAAGGTCCTTCCTAAGTGCAGGGCTGGACATAGAGACACAACACAGTGAAAAACGCCCAGTGATCTGTCTGCTTGGCCTTGAAATACGGCGTGTCTCTTATAGCGGTAGGGCCACCCCATAACTACATTTTATTCTAGTGATCTCTACAGTGGTTTGGTATCCTTTAAACATATGCCAGATGTCCCCTGACCTGCTGAGTGGCAGGGGGAAGCTGGTCTGAGATTGTAGCTTACCACGTAGAATTCACCCAGCAAGGAGACAAGGAAGAGAAGAGTGGGCATTCTGAGGTAGGCAGCCTGGAATTAAATGCAGGCTACAGGAGGTGCCACTGAGTGGCCTTGGGCAAGTCATTTAGTGTGTGAAAACTTTAATCTCCTCATCTGTAAAATAGGTAGATGACCCACCCCAAAGTATTGTCATGAAGATTAACCAGGATAACGTGCATCTGATTCGTTCGTGTTAACACAGTATTGGTACTATTGGCATTGAAGGGAGTACTTTAGTGTTGAGTGAAGTTAATTAAGGTGGACACAGAGAACTTGAAGAGAAGCTTGCTTGTTTAGCAAGCACAGTTATAGGAAGGACGTACTGTGGAGGGAGAAATTTTAGGGCAGGCTAGAAAAATGAAAGCTATTCAGATCATCAGCTCTGCTGAGAACTGGATCAGAAAAAAAAAGTTCCAACTATTGGATAAGGGATTTGGGTCAGACTTACGGAAGAGACTTCCTGACAGTGGAAGGTATCAAATGTCGCTAGACAGAGAGTTTTTCTCGTCTTCTGGGATTGTTTGGGCAGCCATTCCTGGAGCCAGACAGGTGGATGAGATGCCACAGATCCAGCCAGCCCCATGAGTTCTTAATTATGAGACTTGAAAGCAGCAAATGGGGGATTCACCTGCCCCTAAAAGCTGTTTTTGGCAGAGGTTCTCAGATATACCTGATACGTTGGACTCTCTTCTGCTAACCCAGACTACTTAACAGATGGGAGCAACTCAGGTTTTCAGCAATCTTGACCTTTCCTCTTGCAGGAGTCAAGCAAGACGTTTTCTCATCACCTTTAAAGCTGGGGTGGTTGAGGCAGTGTCATCTCTTGATGTCTCCCTACTAATCAGATTCCCTGGAAATCCATGATCCCACTCTTGAGCCACAGCTTAGGAGAGCCAGAAAGGACAGATTGTCCTTGGGTTTGAGATCAGAGGGGCCCATGGTTGGAAGCTCTTCCTGAATACACCGATGCTTTGGCATCTGGGTTTGGAGTTTGATCAGCTATTAGGTCTAGCCCTAGCCCTGGAGATCGGGGAGAATGAGAGAAGCATCATCAGGCTGGACAGGCTGAGTCCCCACCTCTTAGGAGGGTATGTAAGATCACACCCTAGGAGACTGTCATCCTCCACCATATAGAGCCCTAGAGAGTAATCACCTTTGTCTTGGAGATTCTTTCTGGGTCACCTCCTGGGAAAGAAATTAGCCACCTTCCCTTGGGAGCAGTGGCCCCCAAAGCCACCAGCTGGATTATCCTTCATACATTTTTTATATAAATACCTCGTGCTGCAGCTGACCACATTTCTTCATAACCTCCCCATTTGGGTCCATCATCCCTTAATGGTACCACATGTCACCCTGACTCCTCTTCAAGCTTTCCATGGCCTTAAGAATCCATGGAAATGGATTCTTGGATGTCTTGGGAATCTCTTAATTCCCAGCCCAGCTTCTTTCTCTAGCATGGGCCTGAGTTTATTTGATAGCCATCAAGGAGGGATAGAATCTTAGCTGAGTGGAAGAGGCTCACCAGAGCGGCTCACTAAGACGCTAGGTCTTTCCCTTTTGCCTCTTTTGCCCTTGGATTTTGGTTTTCTTTGGTTTGATACTCCCAGAGCTGGCTGTCAGGAGGGACAGATGGGGTATTCATCTTTAACGAGGCGATATAGTATAGCTATCAGAGCACACACTTTGGTGCCAAATATTCCACAATCCAAAACATAGCGACATAGCAGGCTGATGACCTTGCCAAGTCTATGGATTTCTTTGAGCCTCAGTTCTCTCTGCTGAAAATGGAGGTAGTACCCCCCCCCCACATACCAGGTTTGTTGTAAAGATTGAGCATGACTATGATGTCTAGAGAGAGCTGTTAGCATGGGCCCAGCCCATTATGAATGCTCACCAAGTGGTAGCCCTGATTATTATTTCTGACTTTTAGGATGTTCTTCCCTATATTTTTGAACTTTGGCTTGTTTCCCAGTAGCTTCTCTTCCTTTGGGATAATTCTATGGTTGCTAGCCCACATCCTACAAATGAAGTACTGCTGTAACCTTTTTATGGTCACAGCTACAGCACGTCAAGGCACTCGCAGCGAGACTCAGCTCGCTTCTCCTCCTTCCCGTACTTCATGCTTTGCTGGTCAAGTGTGCTTATGGTGCTGCATGCTATGGTGTGAATTAAATGTCCACAGGGTGGCAGATTGGTTTCTGCAGATTCTGTTCCTGTGTGGAAGGAGTATGCCAACTGGGCTGGGTCCTCTTTCACATGGTCCCAGGGCTCCCAGCCCTCGAAAGAGTCACCAACCTGACACCAGAGTCTCCTGCCCTGAAATATCCTTCTCATAGTTCCCTTGACCTTGTGTTATCTTGACTGTTTTGGTGATTCCATGATAATGGGTGGGACGAAGCTGCTGCTTTGGTGTCAAGCTTCCTTGGTACTGAGAGCTGGCTGCTTCAGGAGTCCTAGATGGTAACCGATTAACCACATAATGGATTAACCTGTTCAGTAGCCGCTGTTGTATATGTGTGTGCTGGTGGGACACATGAGGACATCTTACAGGAAGAGAAATAACACATGGGGTAAACTGTTGCCTTCTTTTTTGTTCCCGTCTTCCCTTGAATTCATTCATCCCACAAACACTGAACGCTTGCTATGTGCCACATACTGTGCCAGCCACCTCACTGTGTATACGTCTCGTCATTTCTTCCCCTCACAAAAGCATAAAGTAGACACCAACCCTGTGACACGAACTCCCCAATACCTAATGGAGAGACGCTGAGTGCCTCTAAGACAGGAGCTTTGCTGATCCAGCCTGGCACCAGCCTGTCCAACAAGCTCCTTTAGGAGTCAATGGTGTCACAGAGACAAGAGTTTCCCCTGCCACTCTGTCCTCACTGCCAGGTCCCGTTAAACAGCCCCCAGCCAAGAAGATGCCTTTGTTCCCACTCCAGGCATCTCTGACCACTCCCAGCTCCTGGCAGCTCTGCCTGCCTTCCTCCTCTCACTTCTCCAACCAAGTCTAAGACCCACTGCACCCATGGGTAGGCTCAGCTTCTACCTTTAACTCTTCTTGTTTATGACCCTACGCCTTAGGGCAGGGGTGCCTCCTCTGGCTTCCCTTTGCTTTGGGGTTCCTGGTTGGAAAACCCTCGCTCTTCTCCCTTCCGTCGTACCCATTTCCATAGAACTGTGCACAAAGCTCCCCGGGAGAGGTGAGGCGCAGGTAAGGTGGGGTCCACCGTACTGGGGGTGTGCCCAGACTTGCATGACCCCGTCCATGGCCAAACAGCCATCCTGGCCATGTGGATCTCTGTGAGCCACCTGGCCATCAAACCCTGCATGCATGTCACTGATTGCTGACGTGGCTGCTCCAGCCTAGTTGAATTGTAGATCACCTCCTCCATCTTGGCTGCCACTTCCCGCTCCCCCTCCCTTCCCCCTCCCCCAGTCTCTCACATCCAATTAACACTCTCCTCCCAGCCCCATTCTAGAGTCATTAGTGAGGAAGCAGAATGGTCTTGGCCCCAGAGTGATTTCCTGTCATCTCTGCTCATTCATTCTCTCCATGTCTCTGCTAAACCATTAATAATGCTGCTTGCATCTCTGACTGTTCATCTGGGTCTCCGTGGCTTCATCCCAGCTCCTTGCCTCCAGGGTCCCAAAGAGCAGGTTATCTGTCCTGTGGCCCCAATATGCGCCTTCTCGTTCATCCACTGCTGCTGAGACGGCCTTCCAGGGGGGCCACCACATTGGTCTCTAGGGTCCCAACACAGGATGCTCAGGGGGTAAACCACTCGCTGTTCAGGCAACCTCCTCCTCCTTTCCCAGGAAGGAAGGGTTTACTGAACCGGGGAGGAAGCTGGACTCTTCTTAGCAGATCCTTTCAGAATTTAGAGCTGCTCAAAAAAAAAAAAAAAAAAATTTAGAGCCGCTCACACACATGTGCCAGTGGGGCCAGGGAGCCCCGCGCTTCCTAACACACCTCTCTTAATGTTGCCCCGGCCCTTTGGGGGGAGGTTCAGCTGGGAGGGTCTGGGGCTTTGCGCCTCTAAGGGTAAGGGGCGTGATGACACTTCTTTCTAGCCTGACCGCTTTGGCCTAGCTGGGTCAGCCCTGGGCGGGAGGCTCACGAGAGCATCTTCTGTCCTATTTCAGCACGAGGAGTTGCAGAAAGGACACCCAGCTTCATGTATCCCCAGGGCACAGCGAGCAGTCAGATGGTGCTGCGTGGCACGGATCTTCTGCTGGAGTGCATCGCCTCTGGGGTGTATGTACAGCCCACACCCCCACTCTAGTCACTCCCCAGGAGGAGGGGAGTAGGAATTTGCACATGTTCGCTCCTTGCCACAGTTTGGGGGGCAGAGTCAGAAACAGGCCCTAGCAAGGCCTCTGCAAAACATCATCATTTCCCTCCCATTCTGGCTGTCTCTTTTATGGGTAACAAGGAAAGGAGGTGGGTAGGTGTCTGGCATGTGCTAGAACCCCGGGTGACTTTACATTAGTCCCTCAGTGCTGTGTGGCCTAGCATCCCCTCTGTACAGGAAAGATCTGCTGTCAGAGGGCATGCATCCTTCTGGGCCCCAAGTACACTTCAAGGACACCTGGGTGCCTCCAGCTCTGTAGAAGAACAGCAGGGTCGCAGCTGGTGATATGTCCCCATTTCCCACTTGGCCCCCCTCCCAGCCCCACGCCAGACATCGCATGGTACAAGAAAGGTGGGGACCTCCCATCTGACAAGGCCAAGTTTGAGAACTTTAACAAGGCTCTGCGTATCACCAACGTCTCCGAGGAAGACTCTGGGGAGTATTTCTGCCTGGCCTCCAACAAGATGGGCAGCATCCGGCACACGATCTCGGTGAGAGTAAAGGGTACGTTGTGTGTATTTCTCATTATGATGATTTTGCCAACCCTACACACCACAACCACCTTTCACTCTGCAGGGGGATGTGGGGAGGGGGGCCTGGGTGAGTACGGGAGACCCAATAACACACTGGTTAGTGGCAACAGTGATCTGCCAGGGATAGCGTCACCCCCCTCCCCTGTGTGTGTGTGCGCGCGCGCGCGTGTGTGTGTGTGTGTGTGTGTGTGTGTGTGTGTAGGCTTGCTGGGTATGAGGGGCAGGAGATCCATCCTGACCATCCCCCAATTTTTTGCTGTGCCTGGGGCTCCCTCCGCAGGTGAATTTACCCCAATGGGCCATTCGTATTTCACACCATGCCTTTCTTTCATTTTGCATTCCAGTTCACGGTGTGTCGTCTTAGCCCTGTGCTGTGTACTTGTGCATGGTTCTTTCTTTAAAATGGGAGGTTATCATGGCACAAATTATTTTTTAAAAAATCACCTCACTCCCTTCCAAAGCATAGATGGCCCATCTGAGCTGTTGCAGGCAGTAGAGCACGTGCCTTTACGTGTCCCAACCACAGGTGGTGGGGTACACCAGTCACTTCTCAGCCTGGGGCTGGCAGGATGATTGGGACAGATAAGGTCTAATGCCAACGGTGCAAGAACTTTTGAAACACACGCTCAGTTAATTTTATGACTTTGGTTTCAGTACTACACTCAAACCAGGGGTTCTTTTTTTTTTTTTTTAAGATTTTATTTATTTATTCATGAGAGAGAGAGAGGCACAGACACAGGCAGAGGGGGAAGCAGGCTCCGTGCAGGGAGCCCGATGTGGGACCCGATCCCCGGTCTCCAGGATCAGGCCCTGGGCTGAAGGCGGCGCTAAACCGCTGAGCCACCAAGGCTGCCAAACCAGGGGTTCTTAACCGTTTTGGGGGGTGTCAAGATGTTTGAGAATCTGATCCAAAGGAACTTCTCAGGGAAAAAATCCGCATATCCACATATTCACAATTGGAAGGGATAGCCAGCTCTACTCTACCCAAAGCCCAGTGCCTAAGAATGAATATGAGGCCTTTTCTAAACGGTCTGATCTCACAGCAATAGCAACAGAATCCACACAGGCCGACCCCGGGCGCACTTTACCCCCTGCGTGGCTGGAGCCCTTGCGTGTACATCGTGAATACCCATGGGGTTCTAAAGGCGTCCTCTGTCCAAGCCTCCCCTGAGAATTCTGATTTAGTAGGTCTAAGATAGGCCCCAGTGTCCATGTTTGTTAAAAGCTCTTCAGAGGATTCTAACGAGCAGCCCTAGTTTAAAACTATTGTTCTGTGAACTCAAAATAGAGCGGGCAGCATGTGGTGCCACGTCAGCCCCAGGCAGGCAGGGCTGAGTCATCCCATGAGGAGGAGCCCTGGGCAGGTGGTGAGGCCTTGGAGCTGGCACTCAGGGGCTCCTGCCTTCCTAGTGGGAGCCGGTCTGGTGTCTCCTGCCTGCCCCGTGCCATCTAACTCCACTGCCTGTGCTCTGCTTGCCTTCCAGCTGCTCCCTACTGGCTGGACGAACCCAAGAACCTTATCCTGGCTCCCGGGGAGGACGGGAGACTGGTGTGTCGAGCCAATGGGAACCCCAAGCCCACTGTCCAGTGGATGGTAAATGGGGAACCGCTGCAATGTAAGTAACAAGTCATGGTCCCACCTGGCTCTGCTGTGTCTCCTATCAGAGGCTCCAGATCCCCCCCCCATCCCTGTGGGCCAGCCCCAGGTGTACCAGAATGAGGTTCAAGAATAACCCCTTGGCTCCTGCTTCTGGAGCATCCCAGATCTTTGGACATCAAGAGGCAAGAAAACTGCCTCATCTGTGTGTGAGAGAACAGGAAACCTGTGGTTATGTTCCCATATTTAGGGAGCATAAAACTCCCTTGGGTTTTTCTTGAATCTTGCATTCTGCCCTAAACAACCGCACAGCCCACTTGAAGGTCTGGAGACTGGGTCTGCATCTGCGGAGAGCCAGCCTCTGAGTGGTGATGGGGCTTGGAAGGTAGAGCAGAGCCCAGTAACCCACTACCGTTGGTGACCCAGGCCTCACTCTCTGTGGAGGGCAAAATGAGAGCCAGGTCAGATATGAGGAAGAACTTCCCCACGAGAACAAAGTCGAATGGATGCAGTTAAGGGGTATGCCCAGATTTGGGGAAACTGAGTCCTACCCAATGGCTGGAGTAGGTGCCTCCAGGGCCCCTTCCAGCCAGGGCTCTTGGTCAGGTTTTCCCATCGTGTCGTGTATAGTTGCATTTACTTTCTAACATGTCCTGGCGGGTCTCTGTAAGAATGCAGCACACTGCACCCTCTACTGAGCACAAAGCTCCCTCCCAGCCAGTGTCCTTCCCCTGGGCACACGCAGAGCCCCGGACATTGCCTGCCCTCTGCTGTTCTCCCCGTCCTGACAGCACTCTGAGAACAAGGCAGACTGAGGCAGCAAACTTCACGGCACCATTGAATAAATGCAGAGCCTGGGACCCGCAACTAAGTGGTGGCCCTGGAAAGGTCACCTGTCAGTCAAGGGGGGGGTGGCTGAGAAGAAAGTTTGGTCTCTGAGAATTGCCGGAGGGAGGAGGCATTGAAGTTGCTGGCGTGGACTCCTTCGTGCCTTTTTTGCTGATTGGGGACTTGGGGACAGGCGATAAGGATGCTGACTTCATCTTCACTTACTTCTTGCTGACTCCCCAGTCCCGGGCTCAGATGTGGTATCTGTGGCATGGCGCCTCGGGGGCCAGACCCCAGGTTGGTTCTTTGCCCACCGCTGCCATAGGTCTGGGTGATCTTGGGTGAGTTCACGACGATCCAAGCCAAGTCACCTGGCTTAGTCCAGAAACTTTAGAGAGGAAAGTCACCTTCTAGTGAAAAATGAAAGGAGTGGGGGTTCTTTACATTTCTAGAAAACTTTATTTGTATAGCTTATTATCATTCTTTTAATAACGCTCCTCGGAGTGAGGAAGGATGGGAGTAAATCTCCCCTACTTGACAGAGAAGGGAAATGAGGCCTAGAATTTATTGATTTGTCCCAGCCCCAGATAGACATGTGAGTGGGACTGAGACCCCACAGCCACTCCCCAGCATCTGCTCTCTGCACCCCAAGCCAGCCATACTTGAAGAGTTGCGGGGGGAAAGGTCCTCTGTCCGTTTAGGATATATTTCCTGGGACAATCGGGTAGCTTTGGCAAATTTAAGGACTCATTCGGTTTCAACAGGCATTGGCTTATTGGTTGGACTCTGAATGTTTGCACAATGCTCTGTTCAGAGGATGGGAAGTTGGTAGACTCCATCGAGTTGACATTTCTTTGTCCTTTTCAAAACATTTATGTATATGCACAATGGACTAAAATAGTTAACAGCAACAATAATCAGTGCGTGCGTGCCGGGCCTCTGCCAATGACTTGAGACATGCATTAAAATCTCAGGTTATCCTCATAACCTGAGGTGATGTGTCATCTCCATTCTGCACACAGGAGGCTGGAACTTAGAGGAGCTGAATGATGCTGACAGGTCATATGGTTGGAATTCAAACTCCTTTCTGTTTCCACACCTTATGCTGTCAGCCACATCTGCCCAGCTGTTACATAGGTCCAGCAGGGATTCACAGTCCCACTGAACAGGCTGAGAAACAGACTCCAGGAGGTTTGATGATGGACCCAAAGTCACAAAGCTAAGGAGCAGTGGAGCTGGAGGCTGGGTCTTCTGGGAGCCACCCCGGGCTGCTGCTTCCACGGCACCCAGTCATCTTAGGGAGCCCTGGCCAGAGCCCCAAGTGCCCTCCAGCCTGCCCCATTTCTCACAAGGAGCATCTTTCCTGTCTGTAGCGGCACCACCCAACCCAAACCGTGAGGTGGCCGGGGACACCATCATCTTCCGGGACACCCAGATCAGCAGCAGAGCTGTGTACCAGTGCAACACCTCCAACGAGCATGGCTACCTACTGGCCAACGCCTTCGTCAGCGTGCTGGGTGAGTGCACCCCTCCACCTGGTGGAGCCTCCCTGGGGCTTGTTCCTGTCGTGGGGCCCACTTTCTTCTCCAGAGGTCAGCCAGGCTGGGTGGGGTAGGAGAGCAGTGGGGTGGAGGAAGCATGGAGACTGAAGATGGGTTTTCCAGGGAGGATGGAGGACTTGAGATCTGGGTGTGCAGACTGTTAATTCCATATGAGGCTCCTATCTCCAGATGAGAGGGTGGGGCCTGTCTCACCCCCTCCCCGTATCCACGCCAACTCTGTTCTCGGTGGCCTCAGGGTGGCCTCTGAGTACTAGTGTCACTTCTAGATCCAGGAGAGGGCAGGGGCAGCTCAGAGATACCTTGGGGTTGTGAAGGGGCAGGTTCCTGTTTGTAGCGGCACCACCCAACCCAAACTGTGAGGGTTTGGAACCTGGTGGATAATCTGGGAGACCCTTTGCAAAAGCTGGATTGGGTGGAAGGTAGGTTGAGGGCAGATAGATGAGCTCCCTCCTCCCTCCCCAACCCTGGGAGGTTTCTTAAAGGAGGGAGGTTGCAGGGGATCCCTGGGTGGCTCAGCGGTTTAGTGCCTGCCTTTGGCCCAGGGCGTGATCCTGGAGTCCTGGGATCGAGTCCCACGTCGGGCTCCCTGCATGGAGCCTGCTTCTCCCTCCTCCTGTGTCTCTGCCTCTCTCCTCTCTCCCTCTCTCTCTCTCTCTCTTTCTCTATGTCTATCATAAATAAATAAAAATAAATAAATCTTAAAAAAAAAAGGAGGGAGGTTGTGGTGGGGGGTGAGGAACAGGGGTGCTTGGAAAGCTGCTGTGCTGCCAAAGCACATGGAAGACCCTGGGGAGGGGAACTGGAGGAGCTAACCCCCCCCAGCCCCCCAGCCAAGGTCCATTCTCTGGAAATTGTAGACGTGCCACCCCGGATGCTGTCACCCCGGAACCAGCTCATTAGGGTGATCCTGTACAACCGGACACGGCTGGACTGCCCATTCTTTGGGTCTCCCATCCCCACACTCCGCTGGTAAGTTCCAGACCAGGCCTCACCCCCAGGGGGTGGGGATTCCTCTGGTTTATAGCACTCATTACCCTCCTGGCCCAAAGTAGGTATTCAGCGAGACCAGTGAACCTTGTAGGGTGGAAGCTGGGAGAAAGCTGATCAATCATCGACGTCAGCCCCATTCCTATGCAGAGAAGAAAACCGAGGCCTAGAAAGGGCCAGAGACTTGCCAGGGCTGCCCAGTAGTGGGAGGCAGAGCATCGGGGGCTCGGGGCTGCACACTGCTCTCTCAGTGTGCTGTGTGTCCCGCTGTTCTGTTGTGAGGTTTAAGAACGGGCAGGGAAGTAACCTGGATGGTGGTAACTACCACGTCTACGAGAATGGCAGTCTGGAAATCAAGATGATCCGCAAGGAGGACCAAGGCATCTACACCTGTGTCGCCACCAACATCCTGGGCAAAGCTGAGAACCAGGTCCGCCTGGAGGTCAAAGGTAAAGGAGAGGTTGGTAGGTAGAGGCGGGGTGGGGCAGGCAAGGAAGCCATCTCCTCCAAGTGGTTCCCGTGCGCCATTCCCTTTGAAAACACACCACACATCACGTCAGATCCCCCATGGGGCCCTCCCGCTGGGCTTCTGCGTCCTCACAGGGCTTCTGGCTGGCCTGGGGGCCGGGAACACAGAGTTCTGCTCAGCTCAGTCCCCGTGGGACTGGGAAGGGAAGCTGGAGACCCCTACCAGCACCCTGCTACCCCCCCCAGGAAGTGCATCGTAGATTCCCCAGCCAGAGAGAAAGGACATGGGGATTGTTTCCTCCTTGGAATTGCCCCTACTAGCCCCACCACCACCATTCATACACCTGAAGGTTCTGTCTGCCTCCTCCCGTGGTCCCTCTAATCTTGAGGCCACATGTGTTTCACTGCGTGGCCACGCGGGGTGGGGGGCAGAGGCCTTGCCGATGACAAGCTCCCTTGGCTTCTGCACAGACCCCACCAGGATCTACCGGATGCCTGAGGACCAGGTGGCCAAAAGGGGCACGACGGTGCAGCTGGAGTGTCGGGTGAAGCACGACCCCTCCCTGAAGCTCACGGTCTCCTGGCTGAAGGATGATGAGCCTCTCTACATAGGAAACAGGTTTCTCTGCTCCTTCCTTCTCTCCTCCTGGTGTGAGTCCGGGCCATCTTCTTCCTCCTTGCTCTCGGTGACACACGGAGGAACCCAGGGACAGAGAACCTGTGGCATCGTGTCCCCCAGGAACTGCCACGGAGGGGGTGGCAGCATCAGTACCTCCCCCTCTCCCACCAGTTCTCCCCCTCTCCTCTTTCTCACTCTTTTCTCTCTTCCCTTCTCTCCCCTCACCCCTTTGCCTCCCCGCTGCCTCCCTCTTCTGCTGGGAGCACCCCCATCCTCAGCCCTACTCAGCCCTACCAGTGCCCCTGGTGTCCAGCAGAGGGCAGGGCTGGCCCGAGCCGCCTGCCACCAGGGTGTTAGTGGGGCGCCTCAGCCCATAGGCGCTTAGGGTGCTTTTACTAGACCTCACTGGCCTCCTATGTCCAGATTTAAGTGGCGTGGTGGGAGGGGAGGCATTGAGAGTGTCCAAAAGTCCCGGCAGATATCTCTGATGTGCAGTCAGTGATGGAGGGGGATGGAGAGCCCTCCACGGGGCTCTTTGTTGTTCCCCCCACATCTCGGAGGGTGGTTGTGCAGGGCCCTGAGGTTGGGCATAGGGAACGACTGTTTCCACCATCATCTGGCTTTTCCCAGGGTGTGCTCTGCAGGCAGGCACAGGCTTTGTGCACTCCCAGCTTTCCCGGCCCACCCTGCTCTGTGGTGTCCACCTCCCTCCTCAGGAGACAGTTCAGAGGAGCGCAGGACAGCTGGCCTGAGCCTGGGTGCACAGACGGGCGTGGGCTGAAGGGAGAGCTGGAAGTAGGGGAGGAGGAGGGCTACCAGCCTGCCTTTTGGGGGGTGGACCTGACCGTGCCCTGATTTGGGGGGGAAGAGCACAGCATAAGAAAGGCAGCAAGGAATAGATAATAGGCAGTCTGAGGACAGTGAATGTGAGTCTGAATGTGATCAGGGCCACTTCTGCTTCACCCACTTTCCTTTTCCCTTCCATCAAGCACCTAAGTGCTCCAGGTAGTGGTGAAGACCATGGCCCTCTCAAATCATTGGGAGGGAGCCTCCTGTCCCCTGCGAGGGGCTGTGGCTACCCTGCCCAGCCTGTGATGCTTCCTTCTCACTCACCATCCCCACTCCAGGGAGAAAGCAGGCAGTGCCCAGAGCTCCCCTGCACCGCTCACTGTCTACCCACTCGCCCTCCTCCCAACCACTCCCTGGTGCCCCTGCAGGATGAAGAAGGAAGACGACTCCCTGACCATCTTTGGCGTGGCTGAGCGGGACCAGGGCAGTTACACATGTGTTGCCAGCACTGAGCTGGACCAGGACCTGGCCAAGGCCTACCTCACCGTGCTAGGTAACTGCCACTGCTCATACATGCTCTGACCGCCTCCCATCCCACCCCTTCCCGAGGTCAGAGAAGCAGTGAGCCCCACACAGGTCCCAGGACATTGCCTGTGGTCAGCCAGCTGGTCAGGGGTGGTGATCTCCTGCCCTTTGATCTAAGAGTTAGGAAGCTGCTCCTTTCAGAACAAGCTGTGCTGGACACCTTGCCTCCTGAGTAGAATCATTAGCTCACCCAAATCCTCAACTGATGGGTGCCTGAACGAGAGGGGGAAGGTAGATGAGGGATTCTTCTTGTGATAATCCATACCAACTTTACAGCTACCTCTGTACCACTACGTCAGTTAAAACAGTTCATCATTGAAGCAAGACTGAATTTTGAGTCTGTCCTGCCAACACCCTCTACTAGCCTCCCTCCCCCTCCCACCCTGCTCCTGTTTCCTTAATGGGATTTTATAGGGCACTCTGCACTTTGCAAACCGATTTCATCTTTTCTTGCCCTGTGTCCAAGTCAGACTGTAAATACTAAACCATCCCAACCCCAGGGGAAGATAGCCTTTCCCATCCAGGGAAGAACATCCCCTGGGGTCCCCTCATCACCTCTGTCCTCCCTCTGGGCGTCCTATTGCCATTACTGTTGGTACACTCTGTCCCCTCTGTGGCGGCAATGCAGTCGCTGAGGATGGTGGTCCCAGGCACATAGTGGCGTTGGGATGGGAAGCACACAGTCCCCTCCAACACTGTCAGCCATGGAGGAAGCACAGGGGTGTCTCCATGGAAGCAAAGGTGAGGGTGTGCCTAGAACACCTCAGCCCAGGGCAGCCATTCAAACCTCAGCCACCTATTCCCATCCTACTAAAACACCTGTAATCCTGGATAATGTGCTAACCTGAATAACCCGTCTTACCTTTGCAGCTGATCAGGCCACTCCAACTAACCGTTTGGCTGCCCTGCCCAAAGGTAATTTGTACTAATCACAGGACCCCTTCCTAAGCCCTCTCTAGGTAGCTGGGAGGGTGGAGTCCGAGGAGGAAGGTGCTACCGGACAGGAGGTACCACATATAGGCAAGTGGGTCACACTCTCCACTCGCTGCCAAATCTGATTCCTTTCAAAGGTCCTGCCCCTTACCTCCCAGCCCTGCCACAGCCCTGCTCCCGGCTTCCTCGGAAGTCCTTGGCTGCTCACCCATCCCTTCCTTGTGGTAACCTGTTCTCTCCCTGCCAGCTTTCTCTCTCCCTACACGCTTCTCAGGAAAGCCCACGTGCTCCAAATTACCTGTAGGCCCATCTCGTTTGCAGCCTCCCCACCTCTGCTGCTGCACACCCGTTCACAATCTGTATTCACACATGTGCACGCATACACGAATGTGGGCTCATGTGACCCACCTTCCAAATCCTCCCAGTTACCAGCCAGAGTTCAGAAATAACTGGCTCAAGCAGCCAGGATGGGGAAACATCACACGTACCCCATCAGTCAGTAGTGAGGTAGCTTTAGCCCCAGGCCAAGATGGCCCTTACACCCACCAAGGAAATCCAGTGAGACAGGAGCCCCCAGTCCTGTTTGGACGCTTGCTGATGCTCTTCTGTCCTCCTGTCCATCACTGAAACTCTGGATTAAGTCCCTATTTCCTCCCTGGCCTGGTCCTCAGCCTTTGTCCCTCCCACACTCCTAACCCAGCTGCCTTGTTCAGCTCTCCAGACACCCCTGAGCTCCTGTAACCTCAAAGCCTCGGTACACAGAGTAGAAGGTAATTATCCCGAGAAAATGAGACCAAATCCCACACTTCCTTGCCAGCTTCCCTAAAGGTTGCAAGCACGGGTCTCATGAAAAGGGCATCATCTTCCAAATGCTCACACCCTAAGAATACCCACAGAAATGGGGTGGGTCGGTCCCAGTTCTCCCTACACCCTACATCCTTTGATGCTCTTTTGGGGTGCTGAAATTTTAAGTCTCCCCTTGGTTCTTCCTCAGCCCCCTGAGGGAAGGGGGTAGTCCCTGTGCTGACCTTTCCAGGCAGGCCAGGGCTGTTTTCCACTGGTGGTGACCTCAGCCCCTCAGGGGCCCATCACAGGCCAGAGTCCAGGGCTGGGGCCAGCGCAGGGCAGGCTGGCTCTAATTCGGGAGTCCCGTGTGGTGTCTTCTTCCTCTGCTGCCAGGACGGCCAGACCGACCCCGGGACTTGGAGCTCACTGACCTGGCTGAGAGGAGTGTGAGGCTGACCTGGATCCCAGGGGATGATAACAACAGCCCCATCACAGGTCAGCCAGGGGCCCCGTGCTCCAATCCAGGAAAGAGGGATGGATGGCGGCCTGGTTTCTGGGAGCAGCCAGGGGCCTTGCCCTGGTTTCTGGTCCCGCTTCTGCCTCCCTTGGCGCGTGCCCTGGGCTGTTCACACAGCACACAGAGGCCTTGGGTCCCCTCAGTGTCTTGGGAGGAATTGTCCCTGGGTCTTTGTCTACCCAAGGCAGAATGTTAAGACTAGCGGCAACCGCGAGGGAGTACCTCACAGAACTCCGTCAACTCAGCTCCCAACCAGCACTGTCTTCCTTGCCCACTCAGACTACGTCGTCCAGTTTGAAGAGGACCAGTTCCAGCCAGGGGTCTGGCATGACCATTCCAAGTTCCCAGGCAGTGTCAACTCTGCCATCCTCCAGTTGTCCCCATATGTCAACTACCAGTTCCGGGTCATCGCCATCAACGAGGTGGGCAGCAGCCATCCCAGCCTCCCCTCTGAGCGCTACCGGACCAGCGGGGCGCGTGAGTACCTGAGGGCCGATGGCCCCAGTTCCTGGCCCATGGAACGTGGGCGGGTCACCTAACTTCTCCAAGGTTGGACTCTCTCAGCTGTGAAACAGGGAATAATGACAACACCACCTCCCATCACGGGGCTGTGGGGAGGCTTTTGTCTGAAAATGCGGGTTGGGTCCCTACCCTGATGCCTGGTGTGTAGCTAAGTGCACAGTGAATGCTAACTGTGATTATTATTATTAATATCCTTAATAATTCTTGACGATCTGCTTTAAAGGGAAGTGCTATGGCAAAGATCGGCAGGAGAAAAATATAATCTGGTGTCATGTCAGATTTCTTTTTCCTATCATGCTTGGGTAATGTTTAGATTTCTGAAAATATGCCAGCTCAATGAGAGTGGAGCTGCTTCCCCAAAGTGTTAAATGCCAGGGATAAACCAGTCTGATATTAAATTGATTTAGTGGGTAATCCATGGAGGGGATAATCCACATTGAATTGGCTGTCGGGACCATCCAAAGTATGGGAAGCCTTATGATAAATGCTGTCTGCTGAGGGATTAAAATTCAAAAGAAATTAGCCCTCCTTGGGGGAGGAGAGTGGGGGTGAAGTCTTAGCTAGGGAAGCATATCATACACCTGAGAAAACAGCAGAGCAAGTTTGGTTGCCTGTGGGACTGAGGGCGCAGAGAGATGCTGGGGAAAGATGGGGCTGGTCGGCTGGGAGGGAGAGAGGTTGCTCACTGCCCCTGGTGGCACAAATTGGACTTGACCTTTGCATCCACTTGGGTTCTAGCCCCTGAGTCCAATCCCGCCGACGTAAAGGGAGAAGGGACCAGAAAGAACAACATGGAGATCACTTGGACGGTAAGGGTCCCTCTGTCCCCCTTGATGGGCCCGCTGTCTCAGCCTTGAGTACCTGGGAGCCCTTGCTCTTTATGCCCCTGAGACCCCAAGGCCCCTGGACCTCCAGAGACTAAACTGGAGCATGTCTAAGAGCAAGAGTTAAGACAGGAGATGGGAGCAGAGGTGACCAAAGAACGTAGCTAGTTTGGCAAAATCAGAGAGAATACAAGCAAACTAAAATGGTCTCTCGGAGAGGGAGGGGTTTAGGTGGGCCTCTAGGAAAGATTTGGCCTAAACATCTAGACCTAGTTTGGGTGTGTTCTGGGGTCCTCCCACTGGAGATGGCTGGGGGTAGAGGGGAGACCAGACCCGAGCTGCTTTCCCTGCAGGCTTTCTTTTAGTCCAGGAATGAAGATGATGCAAAAGCTTCCCTACAGGCCAAGATTGAAAAAAAAAAAAAAAAAAAACTCATCTTTATCTTGGCTCACTGACTATATTTTCCAAACCAAAATTGGGATATATGTGGTCTCAAAATGACTTTTTTCCAAACCACTTCCAAGTCTGAGAAATGCACATTTAGCCACTGAAATATTAACATTTCTGTGCTGTCACCATGGGTAAGAGAAGCAGGGAGAGACAGCGTGTGGGATCGTGGCTATCCCCATCCTTCTGAGGGCTTGATCTCACAGCAGCCTGGGCAGCTGGGCTGAGCCCAGGTTCAAGACACTGGGGCTCATCTTTAGGACCTTGCAAGGACCAGCTCTTGGTCTACAGCTCTGTAGGGTGGGCTCCCATGGGACAGATCCTGGACCAGGCCCTTAGGGAAGAAGGAACAGAGTCACACACACACCCCTTAGGTGCTGGGAGGGACAGGACAGTCACACATGGATTCGGTAGAACCCAAGTCAGTTCTGGAATTCTGAGTTCACTGGTAGTGGGCATGCTGTGGCTGGCTAACCCAAAACTCATCCCTCTCCAACTTTAGAGAATATTCTGTTATTTTCTTGTTTTGTTCTTCCTACTGATGCATCACAGGAGAGTCCTGTTGGACATACAGCTTTGGCTCCCTATGGACTTGCAAATGTGGGTGGCTCTGGGAGTCAGAGTGACTAGGTTCTTGAGTGTGAAGCTCGTGTCACAGAAGAGCTACATGCTGCTGAATTCATAAGACTCTGGGCATTGGGGGACTCAGGGTGAGGGTGGCACGCTCTTCCAATGCTGGGCAGATCGGGGCAGAATGGCTGGCACAGAAGGAGGGTGCAGGCTGTGGGTGGGCCTGGGTTCCACCCCTGCCCTCCATCTCTCCCTGCTCAGCCCATGAACGCCACCTCTGCCTTTGGCCCCAACCTGCGCTACATCGTCAAGTGGCGGCGGAGAGAAACTCGAGAGACGTGGAACAACGCCACAGTGTGGGGCTCCCGCTACGTGGTGGGCCAGACCCCCGTCTACGTGCCCTATGAGATCCGAGTCCAGGCCGAAAATGACTTTGGGAAGGGCCCTGAGCCAGACACTGTCATCGGTTACTCCGGGGAAGACTGTGAGTACCCTCCCCTGCCCCAGCAAGGACCCACACAGCTGGGCTGCACAAAGCCAGCCTCACAGACCAGGGACCTCAGGGTGGGTCACAGGACTTCCAAGAACATCTTGGGAGGACAGCCGATTTTCAGGAAAGAGAAATTCCCTAGAGTGACCTGGGACAAACAGGCCCCTGATGTCAGGAGCAGAAATGTCATCACCTGAACTCTAGTTGGAATTACTGAACATCGTCACCTGCTCCAATATTCCCATTTTATGGATGTGAAAACTCAGGCCCTAGGAGGGAAAACTCTTGCCAGTACTAAACAATGGCAACTGTCAGGCTTGAAAATAGAAGCTGGGCCTTCTAAGCTACCTTCCTGCCAAGCCTTGCTAGGGCCAAGACTTCAAGATTCTCCCTCCCAAAGAGCCATAATTAGATTCCTCCACAGGAAACAGGGCCACAGGCCAGATTCTTGCCTGGCTCCCCGGGGGAGACCTCGAGAAATAGAAAAGGCCTCCAGAGCCCCAGACTGGAATGATCCAGATCAGCTACCAGCTGGCATCCCGGTGTTGCTCTTAACCTTTGGAATTGGGCATGCAGAGTAAAGTTTTTGGGAAGCCAGGCTTTGTACATGATTCTGGGCATGTATGTGGAAGTATGCACCTGGCTTTTAAGATGGCAGTGGTCTCCCTCTCCCAAGCACATCAGTGGAGTAAGCTGCTGAGCAGCCCCTCCTGGTCAAGGTGATCCAAGGAAAGATCATGTAGATGGATACGGTGACCAGAAGGAAGGGAGGAGGAACATCCCCATTGGGGGAATTGCAAGGGCCAGTGCTAGGGATTAAGAGTAGGGTCTGTGTTGAGCATGACAGTCAGGTGGGAAGAAGTGGGCCCCAGGTATCACGTTTCTGGAGGTGATTATGGATTGGACCCACTCTGTAATAAGTGGGTAGTACCAGCCGACTCTGTCCATCCTGCTCCTTGTCTCGTGGTGCAGGCACTTCCAGACAGGGGACTGGCGGGCACTACTGGCTGGTGAGTACAGAATGGGCAGTGTCTAGTGGACTTCGTGTACCCGCCCCCAGCTTCCATGGCACCTGCCCACCCCCTCAGCCTGTGCTCTGTTGGGCAGAGTGCAGAAAAAGGAGGTACAAATCAGCTCCAGCAGGGGGAAGGGGTCTGTCTCTCCACGTAGTCAGGATCAGAATCCCCTCCTGAAGGAGGTTGGGACATCTTCAGTATGTGGCTGATGTTTCCTGCAGGGTGCTGGTGGAAAACGAGTGTCATTCAAAGGGGGCTATCTCTAACGTGAGGACAGGGTTTGAGGGAAACTAGCAAGGTATCAGAAACGACCCAGAGGGGTAGCGACAGCAGGACCCTGCTATGACATTCTGAGCCTCAAAGGGCCAGGGGACCAGGTGCCCACCCTCCCTCTCCTCCTGCCCTGGGGTCTCCTGTTGACCTTCCCTATCGAGCAAACCCATCTGGTAGCCTGTGAACAGCAGGACCCACTGACACAGTCCAAAGAAGGGCAGCCTGCTGGGACACAGAGCAGGCGGAGAAAGGTAGTGCATGGGATGCAGGGGCAAACGGAGGCTACCCAGCATGGGAGGATAGCAAATAATTGCCCTCCAAACATGTAGGCAGATCCGTCCCACCCGATGGCCGCCCTTTTGCGCTGGCTTTCCCCCACTCCCCCAAGTGCAATCTTGTGGAACAGTCATAGCCCTTGCCTGCATGGAGTACCCAGTGTCCAGAGGAGGTGGAGGCCCCAGCAGAGAATAAGTCCGAGAGGACCCTAGAGTCCAGGGGCCAGCCCCGCTCGCATAACCAGTTCTCTGTCCCAAAACATTGCAGATCCCAGGGCTGCACCCACTGACGTTAAAATCCGAGTCCTGAACAGCACAGCCATCAGTCTCCAGTGGAACCGCGTTTACCCTGACACAGTCCAGGGCCAGCTCAGAGAGTACCGAGTGAGGACACCAGCTCTCAGCCCCGCCTAACCACCCAGCTTGCTAACCAGGGCAAGGGCGTAGCAGATGCAGGCCATGAGATACCTGGAAGGGGTCCTAGGGGTAGTTGTTGGATCCAGAGTTAATTCAAGAAGATGGTGTTGCCTGTTCAAAAATACACCTGGAAAAAATTTTATATATATATATATATATCCAGGTGTGTCCTGCAACAGATATGCTGAGATTCTGCTCAGCAGAAGATCACATGAAGGGTGGTGGGTTTGGGTTGACGCTGCATATCGCTCATCATGCTCGTAATACATGTGTGAGCAGACACACGTGTATCTTAGGAGCAGTGTTGAGGCAGCACTGAGCTACACCCCTCTCCTAATGGCCCCTGCTGGGCTGCTTGCCTCACCCAGTCTGGTTTCATGAAGCCCTCACTAACAAGGCAGAGCCACCAAGACACTGTAAACACTTTCCCTGTTGTCGCAGCCAACTCCGGATTCTCCAGCATGTGGATTATCAGGGCCCTTGGCTTCTCCTGATCTCCCTGCCTATGGGCAGTTTCTGCTCACGTGTCTCTCCTCTTTGCAAGGGTGGGCTGAGGCGGGGAAAAGAGGGAGAAAACCAGGCTATGCCAGGCTCTCCCTTACACATAGCTTTATTTACAAGTTGCCTGGGAAGTGACGGAGGCTGTAGGCATGGGATGCTGCAGGTTCTGTGACTTACAGGTCATTGAGAGTTGGCTGATGGACAACTGGGGACAGAATGGAAGGGATCGGTCTCTTTTTAGGACATCAATTCGGTAGGACACTAATAAGGAAGACAAGAGAATGTGTACACTTAATGAGCTCTTCCCCAGCACTCGACTCGCACCCTTAACCTACTTGCCTGGAGATCATTCCAGCTAAAGCTCCCCTTGGGTCCCCTTCTCAAGTGTGGATCTCCTCCTCTTCCTTTGCCATCGGAGGCCCAGGTAATGGTGACACGGTAGCCCGACCTGGGCCTGCGTACCTAGTGCTAACCGTACCTTATGTCCCAGACCTCTTGACTCTGTCCATAACACTACCACCTTCTCAAGGCCATCCCATCCAGGATCTTGCCACCAGGCAGCCTGGTGTCCACTGACTTGGACTTGTGTCTATCGCATTCTAAAGGTCTTCAAACAATATTAAAAGAAACCGCTTGACTTCAAAGGATTAAATCAACTCTCATATTCAGACTTGTGGGGGTAACCTGTTGCTTTTCAACTCCTGCTTCCTGCCAACCTAAACCGTACTAATCCAACTCAAGGGGATGTGGCCTTTGAGCACAGAAGAGAGCTCTCCGTGCCTGCACCCTGGGCTTATTATTTGTGGTTCCAGCATGAACTCCATGAGCATCTTGTTCCCGGGCCTGGAATTAAGTGTCATGATGGAAATAAGCACCAGCACCATTAGTAACTTTGGCCAACTTGCCTACTTCCGAGAGAGGCAGTGTGGCTCAGAAAATGATTGAACCCCAAGCCCCCGTGTCCTGTTTGACATCAGTTCACACTCACTAGGGGCTAATGAATGGGGCCTCTAAGGCCACTGCCCCAGCCCAGGCGGGGCTACCCAGGGCATTCGGGATTCGGAGCCTGTGGCAAGCAGAGGGCAAACCGTCACTACCGCTGGCACTAACTACTAACCCGGCTCCTCCTGACCACCCCCTCACCGGCCTGCCTCTGTCCCGAAGGCCTACTACTGGAGGGAGAGCAGCTTGCTGAAGAACCTGTGGGTGTCTCAGAAGAGACAGCAAGCCAGCTTCCCTGGTGACCGCCCCCGCGGCGTGGTGTCCCGCCTCTTCCCCTACAGTAACTACAAGCTGGAGATGGTCGTGGTCAATGGGAGAGGCGATGGGCCTCGCAGTGAAACCAAGGAGTTCACCACCCCGGAAGGAGGTAGGTCTGCCCTGAGACTCTGCAGGGTGGGGCAGGACAAGGGCAGCACGTCCAGGTGGGCCTCGAGCAGCCCCAGCATACATTGGCCAGACAGCACAAGGTGACCTCTGCTGCGACCCCCAAGGCACCTACGTCCTGCAAGCTGAGCCGCTCCTGCCATCCCCCGAGTGCTGCATGACCGGCTGGCCTGCCCTGACAGGACTGTGTATCTCAGGAGAAGACCTATATTGCCTGCTGACAGAATTCCAGAAGGGCTAGCGGACTGACCTTCCCCCCTACAAGGGTGCTGCGGGAGCCCTGGCTACCCCCTGACTCCGGAGGGAGGTCGAAGCACAGTCTCCCTGACCACCAGAAGCACCCGGCTTATTCCCCAGCACTCAGGACCTTCAGAGTTCACTCAGCACTGTGATCCAGAAGCTTCTGTCTGGACAGGTGGCCCTGCAGGGGGCACCCTGCCTGCTGCTGGTTCCAGGTCCCCCTGGTCCTGGGAGGCAGATTCCTGCAAAGCTCACTACGTCCTCGTTTATCAGCTCTCGTTTATCAGTTTATCAGCTCGACATTTGCCGATTTCTCTTCTCTTTCTCCTCCCTCCTTCCTTAATGGCTTCCCCCATATTCTTCTTCTCTTCCTCCTTCTCTGTCCTTCCCTCTTGCTTTCTTTATTCCTCTCTTTCCTGCCCCCCCCCCATTTTGCTTTCCATCTCCAGGCTCTCCCCATCGCCCCTGCTCCTGGTGCCCTGTCCCTGAGTCCCATCCTGGGTCTCTTTCTCCTCGCCCCTGAACCCACATTCTCAGCTCGGGGACTGAGAATCCCCGTCTGAGGACTGGGAACTGCGGCCTCTGCATACGCAGCTGTGGTTGGGTCCCTGAACAGCTCGAAGGCATCTTTGCAAGGGAACAGCCTAACGTGTGCCCAATCCACCGTCGTTGCTAAAGGAAAACCTGACTTCTTCCCCATTTTCAACAGAGTCTGAGCCGTGTGTGTCGTAAACGGGAGGGATACAGCATCCTGGCTGGGGCTGAGGGCTGTGCCCCCTCACCCCCATGGTCCTCCTGGGTTCTGACGTGGCAGCCAACCAGCGTGGGGGTTGCCCAGAGGTCCATGCCTTCATACTTGTGCTTTGTTTTTTTTTGTGTTTCCTCATCCTGCCTCTACCCACCCCTTCTCTTCCCCTGCCCTCTCCTCCTTCCCCAAGTACCCAGTGCCCCCAGACGTTTCCGAGTCCGGCAGCCCAACCTGGAGACAATCAACCTGGAATGGGATCATCCGGAACACCCCAATGGGATCCTGATCGGATACACTCTCAAATATGTGGCTTGTACGTTCCATCCTTCTTTCTCTTCATCTGGGATTCAGAAACCCCATTCTCACCATTTCACTAAGGGATCGAAGTAGAAAGCCTATGGGTGCAGAGAACAGTGCAAAGGGATGGAAGCGCCAAGGAGAAAGTTCCCCGGGGTGTTAGGGGAGGCAGGTGAGAGCCAGCCCTCTGCTCGCCTGACACAGCTCCTTTTGCAGGAATCTTCTAGTTGGCCAGAGAGAAAAAGGGAACTTCTGATCTAATGAGGAACTCAACCTCGGCCCCTCAGGGATCTTAGTTAGAGTCTCCGACACCTACAAGTTGTGCACTTCATCCGATGGGTAGATTGCATACAAGAGAATCCACACAATACTCGGGGACAGTAAACAAAGTGTCACGTATGGTAAGGCAGCTGTATCTTGAGTGACTCAGTCAGGAACGTGGGCAGGGAAGACCTCACCCAAAGAGCTTAGTGTCACCGCTGGAGGACAGGAGTGTCATTATATTTGAAAAACCTCTAAAGTAGGTAATGTCGTACCTCATTGGGAAGCTCAGAGGGCCAGGTGTTGTGTTGTTGACGATTTTAATAGCCGACTGTGTGCTTGTACGCTGCTCTGAATCCACCTCTGGACCTGACCATTCCCCTTTGAGCTATACTGAATAGGCCTTTTACAAAGGAGGCATTAATGATCAAAAGCTCTAGTGGTTCTGCCCTAGTTCTGTTTGAAAGGAAGAAAGGAACTCAAAAGTTTTGTCCTCGTTAAAAAGGCCTGGGGATTATAAACTAAATCTCTCAGAATCAGCCACATAACTTTATAGGGTGCTGGAGATAATGAGATCAGTGAAAAAGTCTTAACCCCTGGTTTGTCATTCAAGAGCCAGAAAGTTCTTGCCCAGCAGTCTGCCCTTGAACCCAAATCTCCCATCCCCAGGGTCGGGGATCAGGCCCCACTTGTTCCCCTTGCCGCAGAGTCGGGAAGGCTTTCTCCTTCCAGCTGCAGATTATATAACCCACCACCGGCCAATGTTACTGAAGTTGAATTCACTTACCCATCTCTCCCCAGTTAATGGAACCAAATTAGGAAAGCAGATAGTGGAAAACTTCTCTCCCAATCAGACCAAGTTCACGATGCAAAGAGCAGACCCCGTGTCGCGCTACCGCTTTACCCTCAGTGCCAGGACGCAGGTGGGCTCTGGGGAAGCAGTCACAGAGGAGTCACCAGCACCCCCAAATGAAGGTAAGTGCATTGCAGCAGTTTTGGGGGTGAAAGATCCCGGCTAATCCAGATGCCTAGAGAAACACCCTGGCCCGGCCTTCTGGCTGGCCGGCCTTCTGGGATGGAGAGAAGACAAGGCTGCAGGTCCTCCAGCCCCCAACAGAATACAAGAGAACCCATCTCCTATGCTGAGAGGTAGATGCTGGTGATGTATCTGGAAAACTCAGATCTTCTTAGACGGCTGCAGTCAGACCTGATCCCCACTTTGTCTTGACTTGCTCTGTTACTTAACATCTATCATCTGTCCTCCTGGGGCGGGGACGGGGGTGGTGACTGTGTAGGTATAAGGAAGCAAGCCTGAGTCCACAGTGGAGGTGACATGAGGGAAAGCACATGGAAAGTAAACCTGCTAATGAACTTCAGAGAACTGTGGAAGTGTCCGCCTATCGAGGGGGGCAGCACTGTTACTAAGGTTGCCTGGGCAGGGCTCTGGGACACCCCTTCTCCCAAAGGCACGTGGGCCAAGGAGGGAGGGAGGCCTTGATTGAGGCTATTTGCCAGGATAATGAGCTGAACAGGAGGTGTAGTCTGAGCTGGGTGGGGTGTCAGGCCATGGGGAGGGGGTGTTGGGAAACAGCCCCTGGCCAAGCCAGCTTCCCCAGAGCGAATGCACTCAGCTCTTGGCTCCTGGCATCTTCCGCCCGCGGAGCATCCCCCAGAACTCACCTGCCTGTGAAGGCCACTAGAGGGGGCTCCAGGCTCACTTGTACCCAGGCTGGTGCTCAGAACCTGCAGCGAAGGGGGGAGGTCAGGTTTATAGAAGCCCGGATATTGGCAGCCCCCCCTCCAGAAGGAGGGGACTCCCTGCCTCTCCAGAGGTACAGTGGTGTATTCAACAGCCATTCCCTGAGTACCCGCAACATGAGGTGCCAGACCCTGTGCCAAAAGCAAGGAACACAGTCTAGAAGGGGAGACATCCACAGGAACGTCTAATTGCTGTTCAACATGAGGAACGTTGCATTTAGCAGAGGCTGCGCAGAGGAGCGCTCGGTTCTACAAAGAAGAGACAGTGTGAACAGGGATTCTTAAAGGAGATGACAGGTCACTCTGTGCAGTGCTGGCCAAGGAGGCTGAGGGGCGACGCCCTGCCCCTGGCCCAGATTGGCCCTCCCGAACACCCCCTCCCCACCCCAGGAGAGCCTCGGTGCTCCTTCACTGGGGCTGCCGGGCCTGCTGCCAGGGCTCCCAGGTCAGCTTCATAGCAGCCCTGCCTCCCTCCCCAATCCGCAACCCCCCTTACCCGGCCAGCAGACCAGTGCTGGGACAAGCTGGAGAGGAGATAGGCAGAAGCTGGAGAAAGGCCGACTGGGTCATTCTCTGGTCTTGTAAGCCAGGCCTGAGCCACGCAATAAGCTCTCCTCCTAGTTTGCTCATCAACCCCCGCCCCCCCGCCCCCCGGCACTTGGGCAGTTTATTATGGCGGGGGGACTTTGTGGCTAATAACATGCCTCTTACCAAAAGCCTGGCCAGACAGGGGATAGTGCACTATCCTGATGACTCAATTCTATACAGAGAGACATAAAGAGAGCCCCTTGTCCCTCCCCATCTCCGGCCCAATACAGAATATCAGATCAACAAAGCCCCATTGTCCAGCCTTAGTGACCACCCTGGGACACGTTCTGGGGCCCCAGGGGACAAGAACACAAAGGGAGACTTTCTTCTCAACTTAGGGTTGCAGTAAATTCAGGAATTTCTTTTAGGGCTCCCAATCCACAGTTGGGTTTCTTATTTCATAAAGTACAGCTGGTGGGAAAGAACTGGGGCGGCAGACCCTCGGGACAGGGGCCTCAGGGCTGCAGTCTGTGGCAGTTCCTGGGCCTTCCAGGGCTGAGATGGTATGGGAGAGGATTCATGAAATATGCTCACCCCTCCTCCATCCACCGCAACACTCTTTACCATCTTCCCACAAAGATACAGGAACCATCCTTTTGACTGGGGTGGATGTCCTCCTATGCCACCTACACCTTATGCCCTCAATTCTTGGCATCGTGGGTGGTTACCCAGCCTTCTTCATAAAGATCAGCCCCGGCCAAGGAAAGGACACACCCTTGGGGAAAGACCTGGAAACAGAGCACTCTAGGTAGACTGTCCCTACTAGCACCCCTTAGATGATAGTCCTTGAGTGGAAGTAGAATCAGAAAGGTGGACAGTTTTCTGTAGGAACATACCAGACCCCCGTGGAGTTGAACATGGACACCAGTTGGCATCCTCAGGGCAGTAGCCAGCACCTGGCCACACTGTCTGGGTCAGGTTTGAGCCAGACGGTCCTCTACTTGCTCGTCTTGTGGTTTCACCTGTGCTCTCTTTTGTCTTCCCTCTCTCATCCTTTCTCCCTCTCTCTGGCCATCTTGGGCGCTGTGTTCTGAAGCTACTCCAACAGCAGGTACCGTACCAGCAGCAGAGGTAATGGACATGGCATGGGACAATGCAGGTGGAGCCCAGCCCAGCCAGGGTGGAGAAGGAGGGAGAGGCTCGGGACAAAAGCATGCTCCAGACTCACTCTTTCAGGGGTTGGGAAGCCGGACTGTCAAGAAGGATGTGTGTGTGTGGAGGATGGGATCAGAGGAGGTCAAACCCCTCCCCTCTTCCCTTCCCTTACTCTTGGCCCCCTAGGATGGCTTAGGAGTGGCCACCCCACATGCACAGGGGCTCCAGACCTAGTCTCTGCACCTGCAGCTTTCTTAGAAGCTGAGTGATTACTTCCCCTGACTGACCTGGGCCCTTGCCTGGCTTTGACGTCCCAGAGCACAGAGAGAGGGTCCGTAGCCCTTGGGTGGCCAGCTGTGCCCCTTAAAGGAATGCTCTACCATGAATGCAGGCAGCTGGCTCCTGGCTTCTGGTCAGGCTGCCATCTCCTGGAAGGGTGACCAACGGGTGAGCACGCTGTGCATGCTGACCATGCATGCTGCATGGGGCCCTGGCGCCAGCTCTGCCATCTACCGTGGGTTCTGGTCAGTGACAATGAGTGAGCTTGTCCTTGGATAGGGCCAGGGGCTCCAGGACTTGGACTCTTAGTGGGCACCGTGGGCTGATTGTTCCCTCGCTCCTTAGAAACCCAGCTTCTCAGAGTCTTCAGCATTAAGAACAGCCTCCACTCTCAGGGTCTGGGCGGTAAATGGATAGCAGACATGAGGAGTGGGCAAGCAGGCCCGGCTTAGGCAATGACCTGCTGACCACAGCCCTCCTCTCAAGCCCTCATGTTGTGGGTTCAAGGGCACCAAAGGGCGTGTCACCGTAGAAGGCCTATCCTCAAGCTGGAGATGCTTAGGCAGGGGATCCCGGGGTTCCTCCCCCTGTCTTCCTCTGAAGCTGACAACAAGGCTCACCCTGGCAGAGGCTGGGGGGCAGGGGATCACTAGAGCCTCCTGAAGCTCTAGGCAGTGGAGAGGACTGAGAAGCAGGTGAGGAAGCCGAGGGTTAGCTTATGATCTGGGTTCCTCCCTCCCCCTTTTTAGGTTGATTCTATTTCCGTTGCACACCCTGCTTCCTTCAGTTTGTTTGTTTTGCCAGATCTGTGGGTGGTGCGCAGCTATCATCCTTCCCTCCCCCCAACCCCTTCCCCCTCCACATCATCACCCAGGCTGGTGGGTCCCAGTGCGTCCCCACAGGGCCTCAACACCTCCACTGGGATATGAGGTAGAATAGACAGGTGTCCTGGGCCTAGGGACCATGGAGAAAGCCATCCTTGTACCCTGGGGGCCGCCCTGACTTTCTGACTCAACTTTGCACAAAGGTCTCTTCTGGAACTATTCTAGCAGGTGCTCAGGGTAGCCTAAGCAGACTTAGTGAACGTAGAAGGGGAGACACAAGACCTCAAGTGAATCAGCTTGAAGTTCATTGGTCAGGCAGGTCCCAGCCCGCCTCCCCCTTTCTGGGGCCCAAGGCAGCTCCACCTGGCAGCAGGGAGCCTGCCCTGCTCAGGGAGCGTCCGTGCCAGGCCTGGCTGCCCCTCTCATGAGTGACCATTCCAAACTCCCCACTTTCTGCTCCCCATTTAGAGAACATCCAAGCCCATCACGTATGCACAATGAGTGCAGGTCTCTGAGCCTCAATCAAATGTGCCTCCTAGGCTTCGGCTTCCCTATGACACGGCAGTAGAGGCCGTGACACTGCACATCTTTGGAAATGAGATGTGCTGGTGGCATTTGCTGTTCTCAGCTGTCAATGCGCAAGAACCTCCTTCGCAATTTGCAGGGGCCAAGCTGTGGAACCCAGGTTCGACATTTTTGATATCGGTCTGTTGTCCAGCCCAGGGCTCCCTTCCCTCTCGTCTTCCCTAAACCTGGATGTCCCCCTCCCCCTGCCACACTGATCTGTTCCTATCTTACCCAGTGAAAATAATCCCTCTCATGCTGCCGTGTCTGTAGCCTCTCAGGATTGCTGCCCATCTGTCCTGGACATCTGTGGTTTGGCCAGGGTAGTCCGTGTGCCAGGTGGACATTTTTGGATGGACCTTCCACCTTGGAGTGTCTGGGGAATGTCCTCCACTGTAACTCAGATCTGCACATGTCTGGTGGGCAGCTCCATGGCAGGTTCTGAAAGTGGAGGGGTCAGAAAGAGTCCCCTCTCAGTTTTCTCCAAAAAATGTGGTGTTCCCCAAGACTCTGGTGGAAAACCCTCAGCCGTGGCATTCAGTGTCTTCCAATGTGCATGAGGTCACCCATTAGGCTGACGTGGCCCTGGGGGAGGGGTATTTCCAGTTCTAGGCCCACCCTGGACACCCACACACACACACACACCTCATTCTCCATTGCCAGGCTGGTGGTCTCCACCCATCATTGACAAGGGTGGTGGTTCTCCAGCCCATAATTCCTGCTTTCACTGGAGATGACATCCTGGCTCAACAACATGCCTGGCCAGCCTATGGGCCACTCCATCTCCAAGCCCCTTATCCCCTTCTGTTCTCTCTCTCTCTCTCTCTCTCTCCACCCCGGGGGATGGAGTCCTCTGAATCCCCTTTGACCTGAGCCCTGGACCGTTTCTGTGTGAAAACTTGCCTTCCCCGCTCACCTCTGTAAGCCTCCAACTCAGCCCGAGGTTTTCCTTCTTGCCTCTGCTCTCCTGGTCTCCCTGTCCATCTGGCCCTGTCCAACCATGGGACAATAGACGCAGCTAATAAGTGGGTCAAAGAGAACACTGATTTGCCAGCTGGGACCTCAGCCAGCCGAGGCTGCCTCCTCCATGGTGACTCCAATGAGGAGTCCTCGGGGAGGACCTTTGGGAAGCCACTCCTTGCCTCTTGTTCCCCTCTAACTGATACCCTGAGACTGTTACCACTGAGCTGAAAGAAAGGCAATTAGGTGGCTGTCATCAGAAGGGCTTCCTTCTTGTCGCACTTGGCAGAGGGACCTTTGCAGGGGAGGGACTAGACCTTGAAGCATCCTCAGAGTCATTTCCCATTCTTATTTCTGAACAGCAGGACCAGGGGAAAAATCTCGCCCCAACCTAGCCTCTCTTAGCATCTGTTTCTAGGGCTAATTAGTGGAGCGCCCAGGGAAGCAGGTGCAAGCCTAACTGTGGGCCTGTGGGAGTGTAGCGTGTGTTTCTGCTTTATGAGAACCAAGGGGCATGTGAGAGTATGTATAGCTTTTGGGGGGAAATGACACTGATTCTGGGGGCCCAGGAAATGTACAACACTGCTCAGGTCTGCGCTACACAGAGTGGGATGGTCTTAACTCAAAAGCTTTTTGATGATGCCTTTTAAATAGTTCTAGAAAAGGAGGGCTCTGTGAACCTTGTACTTGCCAGAAATTATTAGAAAACACATTCCGATACAAGGAAGCAAGTCAGAGCAGATCCTGCCCAGACGGGCAAGATAGTCTCTCCAGATTCCTCCCCGCGGCGCAGAGTAGCCGGAAAAGCCCGTGTGTGTCCGTGGCCGCAGGAGCTGCAAGGAGCCGGGCCTGGGAGAGAGCCGACCTTTAGCTTGTGGGTCTCTCGGGCTTCTCCGTGCTTTTGTCTGTCTGTCCGTCTGTCTGTCTTGGTGAGTGGGATAGGTGAATTCTCTCATGCTGAGCCATAGAGCACTGAGCTCTCCAGGCCTGGAGCCACCTTGAACTAATAGATCTTTGAACAGTGACTTTGACAGGGAGGGCTATCCCCTCCTCACACCTTCCTGACCTCTGAGCTGACCGGAGTCCAGGGAATCTAGCAGTCTGCTTTGACCCTGCCCGGGAATCTTTGGAATGCATGGGACATGGTTGGCCACCCAGTGTGACTTCTGATCTTACACACAGGGGAGTGGCTGGGATCCCAGAACAGTCCTTCTTTCTCTGCGGGGACTTGTAATATCAGAGACCTAGGGGAATGAAAGGGCTTTTGTTGGTCAGGCTCTTGTTGAAAAGGTCTGGGGTCTCTTCATTCTCCCCTGAGAAAAGCTCTCAGGCAGTTGTCTCTCTGGTTCCCTCCCTGTCCTGGCTCCCCTTCTGGGCAGTGGGGATGGGATATTATCTTCCTAAACTTCTGGAGCTTTGAGATAGGGCTGGGATGTGGCTGTTCCTCAGGGGTTACGAGTATCTTCTTATGTCTTAACGCCCTGCCTTCTGCCCCATAAGTGGACTGTGATCAGATTACAAGAGATGGCAAGGGGGAGAGTTGGCCCTGCCTCTCTCTGATTTGCCCCCACCATTCTCATACTCTCGGCTTTCGTAATATTGGAACCAGAGTTGTAGGGCAGTCCTCAGTTAGCTTCCACGACCCCTCTGTAGAAGGAAAGAGGGCCTACGGAAATGATGTCATATTGTCATATTGGTAGACAGCCCCCCACCCCCACCCCCCTGCCCAGGGCTGACTGATGTCAAGCATAGCTTTGGACGGGAGATAAGATTGTGAAAGCAGGCACAGATTTGAACCAGTCCCCCTGAAAATATATGTAAAAAAGAAGCCCACAAGTGTATCTCACTTGCATCCTGGGATTTCTCCATCTACTGAGCACAGACTATACGGTGACCCCAATAGCACCCATCCCACATCCTAATGTAAAAGGAAAGGACTCGTGGCACCTGGAGCCCGAATGTCCTTGGAAGAGAGGAGTCACTACAAGTGACTGCAAGGTGGAGCAGGGTCGTTGCAGGAAGGACCGTCACCGGGCAGAGGAGAAGGGAGGAGAGGCAGGGCTATGGACAAGAGCCAGAGCCTGGGGACCGGCGGGCAGTGAGACCACGCTGGGAGGCTGACCCACAGAGTGGGGATTGTTCTCTCTCTGTCGTTGGGTTTGGGGGTGTTAGAACTCAAGCAGCCGTGAGAAGGGGCACCTTTGGAGTGAATGGCTGGAATGGGAGTCTTCCCAGTGCTCCTACAGGACACAGCCAGCCACCTGCCCCCCTCCAAGGCCGGAGCTCCAGGGCTGGACCCAAGTGCTGCTAACTGGCCTGAGTCTGGGTGGCGCTGGCCAGGGACCCCATGCCATCTCTGGGGCCTGAGCGATTCGGTGTGGGTCCTTTGCTATCCTCATCCTCACTCTCAGCCGGGTGCATGCTGGGTGCTTCGAGCCACACAGACCATGAGAAGAAAATGAAACACACGCGGGGCTTCATTCTCTTCCTGGCCCATGGCTGTGTTCTCTCACTGTGATCCGTCCGACCTGGTCCGTCACGCTGGGGGAGGCTTCTGGTTCCTGAGCTCCATCTCCTCCCCGGGGCTGCCTGCCTTGCACGCGGGGCCACGAGTCCAGGCTGGGGACCCCCAGACCAACCAGACGCGGCTGTTTTACATTTCCCTCTCAGCTCCTCCCACGTTGCCCCCGACCACGGTGAGTGTGACGGGCGTTGTGAGCAGTACAGACGCTACTGCCACCGCTGCCACCACCGAAGCCACAACAGTCCCCACCATCCCAAGTGTCGCACCTACCACCATGGCCACCACCACCGTCGCCACAACTACAACCACTGCCGCCACCACCATGGAGAGGCCTCCCACCACCACCTCCGAGACTAAGATGCCCGAATCCGGTACTACCCACTGTCCCTGCGCCCCATCCCTCTGCCAGAGGCCCCCCCGCGTAGGAGGGCGGGTCTGGGATGCCGTTGGCCAACACCTCCCTTCGTTTTCTACTTGATTACTTTTTCTTTCTTAGGTATGTTGCAAGTTAATTTCGCGTTTATCTTCAATTTATTACACAAACCTTCAAAATTACTCAATAACATTTATACACTTCCCCTCATTAAAATACTTTCTTAATAACAATCATCTCCTCTACCTATAAATTTTTATACAATATTATATAATCTACTAACCATATTCTCCATCTACCTCAAAACATCCCAGGAGATCCCACACCATTCATTCTATCTTCAAACAAAACAACAACCCGCCCCACAATACACATTCTAGTCTACAAACTCTACTCTCACAACCTTATACTCATTCTTACCATCGCTAACTCTATAAAATATTATATATATGTCGTCATTATTCGCGAAAAGAATAGAGTGTACCATTATCTTTCTCATTAAAGGATTTATTATTTACAAAATCAATCCTCACACACACTATACTAAGATATAATAGAAATAAAGATAATGCCGTCTTACTTTAGGCCCCCCCTTATAATAGAAGTCGCCGCCGCGTGGCATTGTAGGAGCCCGAGCACGACACCCCACCGGACCCCCACCGGTGCTGTGTTGACCTCTTTCTAACGCACACAAATCACTCACTTCGGTAACGGAATGCACTCTCTCGGCGGCTATGGCTCGATTCTCAATATGGTTCTAGGGGCCCCTGGTAAGAAATGACTCCGGGGCTGGCCTGCTAAACCCAGAAAATGTGCTGTTCCTCCATCATGCAGCCAGGCACAGAAGCTCTGTATTTCTACCAAGAGGAGACCACTCCCCCTCAGGAATCCAGCCATATGTCTGAGAACCAAGCATCAAATACTCTTGAGGGCCTCTAGCTTGCAGATCCCATAGGCCATCTGTAAAGTCAGCGTAATGCAGCTGGCAGGGCAGGCAGGAAGCACCCAGAACCTTCTTCCGCCAGCAGCTATGGGATTGTAGGCTCCCCTGTGTCCTAGGCAAGTCCCTTTACCTTCTGGGGCCTCACTTCTGAGCACCTGAATGAGGATGGTGGCTTAATGCACGTGTGAGTATTGTCTTTAATTCCATTATGTGGACTTATGTGAGCCATAAGGGGACAAGTGATACATAACTGACGTTATGTTCTTCAGGCCTTGGAAACAGCGATTTGTTTTAAAGGTACAATATCTAGAATTTAAACAACATGGACTTTAGGAAGATGTTGGTGGAGGGAAAAAACTGGCAGGCTCTTAGAAGCTGCCACCAATAGTCTGGTGATGGGTGTTCTTTGGGGCCACAGGGAGGCATCTTTGCCTTATAGCAGGGCTCAGTGTCTCCATGAATGCTGTGGGGTCACAGAGGGTCACACAAAGGATGAAGGGACTGGATCTTGCTCCCCAGCAGAGTTACTTGTCCTCTGGAAAGATTGTCCTTGCTGCCCCGTAGGACTAGCCCCGTGGACTCTCACATGTGACTCCTAACTGCCCAAGACTGTGCAGAAGACCTGCCTGTGCCCCTGAACTTATCCTTAAAACCAGGGACAGGGGATCCCTGGGTGGCACAGCGGTTTGGCGCCTGCCTTTGGCCCGGGGCGCGATCCTGGAGACCCTGGATCGAATCCCACATCGGGCTCCCGGTGCATGGAGCCTGCTTCTCCTGTGTCTCTGCCTCTCTCTCTCTGTGACTATCATAAATAAATAAAAAATTAAAAAAAAAAAAACAGGGACACCCTTCAAATATTCTCTTTTCCCTAATGAAGCAGAGTGGCTCTGCCATCCACATTTTTTTTTTTTTTTTTTTTAGTGACCTTTCATCTTTATCCTGTCTTATGTCTTGGGACCAAATGTTTCCTAAGTTTACTTTTTTCAGGGTGAAATGGGACTTTTTACTTGTCCTTAACTTGTCTCTTTCAGTTTTCAAAGGATACCCTCTAGTTCTCCCATTCCAGGACTCGGTCTGCCGATACATACTTCCTCTCACACTTTCTGGTTTTATAGTAACTGATAGCTGTCCTTCCTGGTCTTACTCTTTGCACGTCTTCTTTAGCAGTCAGATCCAGGTCTCTCTGCACGGCCTGCCTTCCCCCACCTCCCACCTCTAAGTTGTTTTTGCTTTTCCCCATCACTTCATCTTTTCTAGTGGTGCCCTAATCTCCACTACCTTTGAGACTGTCAGATTTGGGTCGATACTGTATTGGCGGCCAAACTGTTTAAACCCAAATTCTCTGGCTATTTCCAGGCCCCAGAGCTGAGGAGGAAGAAGCTCAAGTTCCCAAATCATGAGTTCTCCTAGTTCATTCCCACTAGCAAGAGCCATGAGATTCCAAGGAGCTGGGATTTGGGGTGGCTTAAAGCCACCAGTACAATGGAAACACCTGGCAGATAAGTAAAGCAGCCTGTCTTCTGCCCTCCCCACAGAGAATGCCCCATGGTGCCGTCAGTGGAGTCTCTTTCCTGGCCCCTCACCTCACATGAATCATATTCACCTGGGGGCAACTGGGCAACCGACAAGGTTGTAGTAGGGAAGGCGCTTCTTTGAAGTGAAGACCAGGAGATCTTTTATCACTTCCCCAGCCCTGCAGACTCAGTCACATGTCAAATAGATAATGAATAAATGCATCACCAACGTACTCTATTCATTTATTTTTGACAAGTGAGTTGGTGACAGTGCCCCCTTACATGCTAATAAAATATACAGGAGCCGCACTTGTAAAGTCTTTGAAATACAAGGCTTCACGCTAGTACTCCACTATTAAATCTTTGCTGGGAAATGGGGTAATCAGACTGCTGGGACTCGTGAAAAATGATTACGTTTGAAGATTAGTGCCACTCGCCTGTCCACAGGCTATGGTTTCAGATGGTGCAGTGGCTTTGATAAAGTAGCTCCCCGCTCGTAGGCGCTAGATAATTAATGTCTTCCGTATTGTGTGGAGATCAAGCCTCAGAGACAATTTAGTGTGCTGAGAAACCAAAAGAACTGGATTCTTCTGGTGTCTGAACCTCTGAGAATTGGGTGTCAAGAAGGAGTTGTCTTCTTGGGGTCCCAGCTAGCCCAGGAGATGGTGAGGTGGGACCTCTGGGGTTATAGACACCCCCCCCCAGTCCCCTTGGACAATCTGAGGCCCTGTTCCACATAGTCCGACATCTTGCTGACCAACGTGGTCACAGGGAGTCTGGAGTCACCCATCTGGGTTACTGTTCTCTTCCAGTCTCAGGCTGGAAGGCTTTCCCACGTTTGGTCCTGTCCTTCCTACACATCATGACTCTCAAGGGGCTTCGAAAGATCCCATTCTCCTTTCTGTAGAATATCTGTGGTTGAAAGGAACAACCCCTGTCGGGCTATACGCTGGCCAGTGGGGCTTTCTCCAGGTTCCTTCCGCCGCCCCATCCCAATCCATGACGATCTAAAAAGGGAAACAGCCCAGGTTTGAGCCTCCAGTGGCATGGATCGAAACCCACTCTTTCATTCCTGCCCCTCCCTGTGTGGACACACAGACCATTTCTAGCTCTCCCTGACACACAGATCCTCCTGACCGCACCCGCTCATACCTGGATGGCGACTTCTGGCCTGGCCACCAAGGCTGCAGCTTGGAGCTCTGTCGGGCCCTGTGCACAGCCTCTCCTGAGTCTTCCCTCCGAGCCGCGCACGTGTGTGTGTGTGTGTGTGTGTGTGTGTGTGTGCACGCATGTGTGTCTCCAGAGCTGCCTCCCTCCCAGAACTAACCCCTCTTCTAACCTACCCACCAGCCCCCGACAGGCAGTCCATATGGAACGTCACGGTGCTCCCCAACAGTAAATGGGCCAACATCACCTGGAGACACAATCTCGGGCCCGGAACTGCCTTTGTGGTTGAGTACATCGACAGTAAGCATTGCTGAGCGGGGCGGCGGCGGCAGCGGGTAGCGTGGATGCCATTAAGAGATCCTGTGAGCTCCCCCAGGCTCCGAGGGGCCTGGTATCCCAGCTGAGTGATGACTTAATGAAATCGATACGTGCCCAGGCGGCAGTGGGGTGGGAAGAGCAGCCGCAGGGGAAGGAAGAGGCTTCTGCAGCCATCAGTAGAGGTCTCAGGGCGCATGTGCCGGGGAGGACCTGGGTAAGGGGGCCCTTCGCCTATTTCCTGCCCAGGAGGAGGGTTCCGGATGGCGCCCCACGTGAGCCCGGGCTCACTTCTGCTTGGATTTCCTTAACTCAGAATCCATGTTTCTGGTGTCTCCACTAGACGGGATAGGCCAGTTCAGACGTTTGGGTACAACTGCATTGTGCTCACGGAGGAATGCCAGCGGCCTAGCATCTGAGGCACAGACCAGGGTGACTTGTCTCAGAGAGCAGGTGGCTTGAGCTAGCTGTTCACTCTTTATTGGCTCTTGGGATCAAGGGTACATCATTATTACACTGTAGAGTGAGTCAGGATATCCGCCTTCTTTGAGTGAAGGCCCCTGCCCCCAAAGACTCAGACCCACCATGTTTTTATCCTTGGCAATTAAACCAGCTCACCCAGCCAGGAGGTCCACCTGGGCTAGCTGCTCGAAGGCCCCTAAGGAAAGAGCACAGCCAGCTCTTAGTTCTCTGTGGCTGGAGGGGGTCACATCCATAGAATCGGCATCCTGAGGGTGGTCCCTGCCATTTCAGCTTCCTACACCCACCATTCGCCCTCCACTTCACATGCAAGTGCACTTGCTTCTCCTGATGTGTGACTTCTCCACGTGGTGAGAAATGAGAGGTGAGACCGGAGTGAGAGCCAAGAAGTAGAATCCTGCCTCACCTCTGTTTACCAAGAGGGATGCTAACTGGCTCTCTGACCCTCACCGGGAAGCTCCCCACCCCCAGGAAGTGTGTCACCTCCAGGATGACAACATTGGCTGACGCTGCCAGTGTAAGGACGTAGGTCATGCTGTTTAGTGCTGAGCCTGTAGAGAGGAAGGAAGGAAAGCTTGAGGAGGAAGAAGAGGGCCCTTGGCGGAAGGGCTGCTGGGTAGGAGAGTCAGCATCGCGTGGAAGGGCTGGCAGAGCTGCCTGGTCACCTTGTGGCCTGTGCCATGGCCCAGTCCTTTGCCCCATGCTTCTGCCTTTGACAGGTGATCGGGAACCTAAGCACTGCCTCTCCAGCTCCTGGCGCCTGGCCCCAGGCTGACTGAGGTTTCTGTTCCCCAGGCAACCATACGAAAAAAACTGTCCCTGTTAAGAGCCAGGTCCAGCCCGTACAGCTGACAGACCTCTATCCCGGGATGACATACACGTTGCGCGTTTATTCCCGGGACAAGGAGGGCATCAGCAGTACCGTCATCACCTTTATGACCAGTACAGGTGAGAGGGGGTCCGGCTCAGCCACCCCTGCAAGCATGGGGCATTTCATTCCATCTTCGGCTTCCTGCTTGTCTCTTCTCCTTGGAAAGAAGACTCATCCCACCCATTCCCCACCTTGCATGGCGTGTCTCGGCTCTTAGTATGTATCAGTCCACAGCTCCCAGGAAGCCAAGAGGAGCCAGAGTGCATGCGCAGTGCGGGGGAAGCGCCCTTCCCACCCTGAGGCAAGTGTGTGGTGTCCAGAGGAACTAGGGCCGTAGGATGAGGATGGAGGAGGCCGCCTGGCCCCCCTGACTGTGCGTGGAACCAAAGGGCTTGGGCCCTGTGCATGGGGCCAGGGGCTGGCAGATGCCGAGCAGCCTGCCCCATATGCACAGGACCCTGCTCCCTGCATGTAGAATTAAGAGATAGGGCCATCCAAGGGTCTTGACCCAAAAATCTTCCCAGGGTCATCACATATGTCACTGCCTTGTTACTGTCATCTGTGAAAAAAAAAAAAAAATCCAAAGCGTGCGATGCGCATTGTTTGGGGCTTGATCTTGGCTTCATTTTTGTCCCAAACTGTCCACGGCTTCAAAGTAGTTGATCTTCCGCTGTGCCGGGGAAGAAGAAGAAGCTCTCTAGTAGGAGAATAGTTCTGGCTCAAAAGGGACTTCAGCTATAGCTACAGAAGCTCCCTCAGTGCACCAAAGGACTGGGCTGGCAGGGGCTCAGTACAAGGTAGAAGGTCAGGGTGGGCAGGCAGTTTGGAGACTTGAGGGCACCTGCTCATGTGCTTGGGTGTATCTTCACAGTCGGCTAGGTGGGTGGCCATGCTAAGCCCTGAGGCGAAGGGTGAAGGTTGGGGAATGAGCTACAGAGAGAAGAGGACCAGTCCCTGTCCCCAGGGTGTCCTAATCAGCTGCAGGTTAGTAGACACAAGCATAGAAACAAAACAATCACACACAATGATTTATATGACATTCTGACTGTTGACTGAAATATTCATTACTCTTCCTAAGCCTGGCCAGGCTCATCCTGGCAGCCTGCATCTTGAGAGTCACCACCCATCTGCATAAATGTCTCATTCCACCCCTCTGGCCTTGTCCCTCCTGGTCTGGACATCCTGTCCTACGCCCCGTGCCTCTGCCTACCCTGCCCATGTCTAGGCCATCAAGACTCAGGGAGTCTGTGAGTCCAGCTGTCTGCTAAGGCCAGGCCAGCCAACTCCGGCAAGGTGTCTGACCAAGTGGCCAGACCAGCTCGGGAGCCAGGCAAGGCAACTGGACCGCTGACTGAGCAGAGCAGGTGGATGGACTCCGTCTGACCCAGTCGGGATCCCAAGCTGTTGCTCATCCGTGTGTGCATTTGATTTTGCTTCATTATCAACCTGAGTCCAGCACAGAGGCCAGAAGCACAGATAAGGTTCCAGGCTAGAGCCCCCTCCTAGGGAATGCTACAAAAGCTGGTGCCACCTGCTTCCAGAGGCTTCTCCCAGCACTAAGTCCTGGGGCTGGGAGTGAGGGGTGGGGAGAAAGGGCCAGAGAGGGAAGCACCAGTCCCCATCCTCAGGGATGTCCCAGTCTGCTACATATCAAACATGTGGTACAGAAGGAAAAAAAAAAGACGATTGATAGTGTACTTCTGAACACTGGCTCAATTTTCTTCTCCCTTTTCCTGTGGTTGGTCTGGAGAGACTCTTCCTGATAAATTGCTTTCAGAGCGAGTGAGTTTTCCCAGATTCCTCTCCATGCAGGTTGGGGTGAGCAGGTTTGCGACCCTAGCGCTGAGTACACATTGCTCACTAACTACGTCACTGGCTGGCTAGAAATTACTATGTGCAAACCACATAGGGGAGGGAAATATTTTTGCTTTCTGAAGTTGTGTGTTTCTGGATTCTTGGAAAATGCACACTGTGTATCCTGTGGGTGGACTCCGGAGCCAAGTTCACATGATCCTGTAGGTCCCAGGGTCTCCTCAAAGCAAGGGTTTATGAGCATCTCTGGATCCAACCACTGGTCATTTAGGTGACCACAGGCCATCACTGTAGTCCACAGACTCAAACATGCGGCAGTGGTTCAGGGAGGATATGGAAGAAAACCACTAGGAATGCTAACCGCCTCCCTGACCTTTACCAGAAAGATCCCACATGGAAAGTTAATCACCTCTTTGAAGCTTTTGAAGCCAAAGAGACCCAAGGGGCCGCAAACATGTAACTCGGGACTCCAGGGGGGTGGGGGGGCAGCACTCGTCAGCTCTTCTGTCCTGGGGTGGGTGGGATGGGGCTTGGTGGCAGCAGGCAGGTGCTGATGGTGGGCCAGTGGGCCAGCCCTTGGGACGGTGGGAGGAGGGACACGGGGGACGTCACTGTAGTCAGCTTCTTTCAGCTATTTGGAAGAAACCCAGGATGGGACATGGTGGTGATGCGGAGGCGGCAGATGGTGCTTAAGGAAGAGCAGCTAAGCCCAAATACATCTGAAGGAAGTCTACCCCTGTGATATTTGTTCATCTATCTCTATTTCTGAAATTCTGCAGACTTTGAGTGACTGCCTGCTTTGCAGATGAATGGCCCATTTTTGAGCAGTGTTACAGAGAGTGGTATGTGGAAGGCACACAAAATATGGCCTCTGGGCTAGAGGAAGAGGCATTTGGACCTGAGTTTGCCAGGCTTTGTGGAGCAGAGGAGCAGGTGCTTTTCTGGTTCCTGTTCCAGTGGAAGTTGGGGAGCGTAAATGCATCCTGGTCTTTGAATGTTGTCATTACTGTGTCCATTAGGAATCTTGAAACACATTGAACAGATCGATTAAGAGTGATGTTGGCAGCCAAATGTAATGGTCTGAAGCCTCACTACAATACCTTCCGTCTCAGAGTCCACCGTGTCGGGTCGCGTTGTGAGTGAGATCATCTTGTCCTAAATTGCTTTTGGTTCATGAGAAATTAAATCATTTTGATGGAGTCTGGTTGAGCCCACCTCATCCCAGATCCCATTTGGTTTTGGTTCTGGTTTTTATTGACCTATCATGGACACGTAACATTGTATTAGTTTCAGGCGTACAATGTATGATTTGATATGTGTATATATTGCCAAGTGACGGCCACAATAAGTTTAGTTAACATCCAGCACCACACATAGGTACAAAACCCACTTGGATTTTGGGTCCAGCTTTCTGGGTTCAGAACATTCTTTGAACTTTTGTGGTAAGGACTGAAGGTAACATTGGAACTTGAGGTGTCATCAGGTGCTGTCAGGAATGGGAAGCTACATCTGCTTTCCAGATTGCCCATATGGCCACTCTCCCTGGAATTGTGCTTTCTCTCCCAAGAGAAAGGGAGTCCCAGGGAGATGGCTTGTCAGGGCCTATCAGAGCAAGCATCAGGAAGATGGTAGTGGAGCAAACAAGTCACTGCAGACCTACAAGCCAACTGCTCTGCAGAAGGTGGGAACCACCATCCAAATTCAAGGCATGGTGCATGGCCAGGCCAATGTCCCTGTGACCCCAGCAAGTGTCCCAAATTAACCATATTAAATTAGGATTAAACTGATCTTTACTAAGGGGTCACTGCCTGTGCTGCTATGTGACCAGCATTCGGCTAAGCACTAGGTGGCCCAAAGACTCTCCTGTTCTCAAGCCTTTGATAGTATAATTAAAAATCTGGATCCAGGAAAACAGAGCAATTGAATGTTACATTTCGCAGAGTCAACAGGGGTGAAATCGGACTTTTGAGATCAGTGTGAGCTGGAGGAGTGGGAGATTCAGGAAAGGGGGTGGAGTGTAGAAAGGTGGAGAACAAGAAGGGTGGCAGGCAAGGCTCTCGAGCATGGTGGGAAAGTTGCAGGGAGGGGAAGTGCAGAGCAAGGAATGATGGGAGGTGTCCCGGGAGCATAACAACACGATGTGTCATTGTATCCTTGGGATCTGATAGACCTAGGGTGGGAGAGGACCCCTCTAGACTGGAGCAGTGAAGCAAACATGAGAGACCTTGGAAGGAGAAATGATAACCCTTAGGGATGGCAGGAATGGTGAAGCTGCTGGAGGGAGCGGGGAGCAGCGAGGGCAGGAAGACATGGGTTGCATTTCAAGCAGACAGACCATCCAAGGAGATGTTCAGAGGATGTCACCCGGGACACAGGGCTGACAGCTACAGATCTGGCTGGATGGACCATGCAAGAGGAGTAAAGGGATTGCCGGTTGGAAAGTCAGTAAAGGGAAGGTAGGAGCCAAGGATGTAGGGGCAGGTTTGGTAAAGACCCGCTCCAGTTGAAACACTGAGTAGTGGGCAGCCCGGGTGGCGCAGTGGTTTAGCGCCGCCTGCAGCCCGGGGTGTGATCCTGGAGACCTGGGATTGAGTCCCATGTCGGGCTCCCTGCATGGAGCCTGCTTCTCCCTCTGCCTGTGTCTCTGCCTCGCCGCCGCCCGCCCCCCCCCCCCGCCTTGTCTCTATGAATAAATAAAATCTTGAAAGAAAGAAAGAAAGAAAGAAAGAAAGAAAGAAAGAAAGAAAGAAAGAAAAGAAAGAGGAAAGGAAAGGAAAGGAAAAAGGAAAGGAAAGAAACACTGAGTAGAGAGGGTCTCGAGGTTGGCCTGACGGGTTGGAGGAAGGAATTGATGGGAACTGGAGACCATGGAAGATGAAGGAGTTTATCTGAGCCAGGGCTGAAAAGTCTGGCCGGTTCTTTTAGGGTTTTTGCTTTAAGATACAGGAAGCTTCAATGTGTTTAACAGCAGAAGGAAGGAGAGAGCAAAGAGGGTGGAGGGCTGGAAGATTTGAGAGCCTTCTAGGACTGAGCCCCCTGGGAAGGGAGAGCTGCTACCATTGCCACAGACGCAGGGACAGCTGTGGAGGCTGTGAGGTTTCAGTGGTCAACCGAGCAGAGTGGGTGATGTTGCCAACACAGAAAGAGGATAGCGTGGAGCAGTGGGATAGGGAGAAGCAGTTTGGGGGGACAGGCAGAGGGGAGTGGAGGGATCCAGGCAGCAACAAACGTCCAGCTGAAGTGCACATAGCTTATGAGCAAATCACAACCTCAAGACCCTCTCTGTGCCTCAGTTTTCTCATCTGTAAAATAGGGATAATGAAGCCTACCTGGTGGGGTTGTGAAGACTGAATTGGAGGATGAGTGGAGAAGTACTCAGAGCAGTGACTAGCCCACAGGACGTGCTTCCGAGTGTGCACTGTGATGAGTACCGCATCAGATGGAAACAAGTGCTAGGAAAAAGAGGAATGAGAGCCCTCAGGGAGTGGCCGGTTGGGAGAGAGGGCTTTGGCATTAGCTGAGAAGGTCTGGAAGGGGCTTCTAAGAGGAAATGACACTTTTGGAGGCAGCCATCTGAAGAAAGAGCAGCACATGTAAAGGCCCTGAGGTTGGAGATCAAGTGGCCAGTATGGCTGGAGGAGAGAGGGTGGGAGATAGGACGAGCGCTCAGTGTCTGAGACCAGCCTGGGTGGGGCCAGGACAGGGTAGGAATGTAGGTTTCTCCCCAGTAGCAATGGGAAGCATTAGAGGGTTGAAGGAAGGAAGCGAGTTGCTCCTACGTGGGGTGCTGGGAGGATGTCTGTGGCCCCGCACAAGGAACAGCCTGCGGGAACAGGAGTGGGGGGGATGGGACTTCAGATCGAGTAATCACAGCCCCGGGCAGCCCGAGCATGAAAGCACTTGCGTATCAGTCCTTCCCCATTTGTCCAGACCCTTCCTGGTACAGTGTCCTTGTCTGGGCACAGAGGAGGCTATAATGACGGTTTCTCTGTCCAAGAAGAGCAAAGGGTAGGACTGCACCCAGGCACCTGCCCCACAAAGCAGCATGTGGTAAAGACCCCGGGGCACGGGAGCCCCCTCTGTTCCTTATGTTCCTCCCAGGAGGAGGCCCAGGGCTTGGCTTGGGGCCTGTGGGCTCTCTGGGACCCTGCTGTTGACTGTGCTCTGAGATGCCCCTCGGCTCACTCGGCTGGCTCCAGATTACTTTGGGTCTGCTTGGTCGCTCGGATCCTGCCTCTCCTCCCAAGTCTTGGTTTCCCTGGCAGGCTGGGTTTCACGAGGGGGTTGTTCTCTAGCCCATTGAAAGAAGAGCGAGTGGGTCCTGCCCACTCTAGATCCCCTCCCAAACCCTAATTCCAGCCGTTGGGTCATCCAGGACACCATCACATGACACCTGAGCGCCTGTCCTCTACGCCTACCCATGTGTCCTTTGAATTGTGAAGGGGTCTGCCCAGGTTGAGATGTCTTCATGCACTCCAGGCAGGGATAGAGAGGGACTCATCACAGGGCGGTGTGGGGGGGGGGTCCTCTACGTCTGGAAGTGGCATGGGGTGTGCTGAAGGTGTGGCCCCAGCCCCAGCCTCACCACCAGCCCACCTGGGAGTACCTGTGCAGGAATCGTCTCCGCTGTCAGGGAGCACACAATCCAGTTGGGGGGACGTGAAAAAGTCTCGGGCATCCTGAAACTGTACCCTGCCCAGAACCCACTGCCAGGAAACCTGGTTGGCTTCGGGGCCTTATTGGCGGGGAACTTGCTGTTCTTTGCCCACACAGGCCCTCCAAAGGTATTCTTATAGCAGGTTTTGCAGGGTAACCACGGCCTCCGTTCCCCAGTGGGTAGCAGAGTCCCATTTCCTCACCCCAGGTGCATTCATGGGGGAATCTTACCTCCTTAACCAATCCCTGGCCTTCCCTCAATTCCCCACCAGGCTGTGACCAGCCATCCAGTTTGCAAGAATGCCATGCCCCATCCTTAGGAAACTTCCCCTACAAGGACCTGTTCACACTTCTGCTGCTTATTCTGCTCCCTGTACCCTTTACCAGTGCCTCTTTTCTGACCTTTTGACCTTGGCTCTTTAATTGTTTTCTCTTTGTACCTGTAGCAGGGTGGTTTGGGCCAGAGGGCTGCTAGGTGGTAGCATAAGGCTCCAGGAGGAACAGCGACATGACATAGCCATCCTTCCCCCTCATCTCCCTCTTCACCTCCCCCATGGGAAATCACTCGTGTGTTTGCTTCTGGCCCTCCCCCACCAGCTTACACCAATAACCAGGCAGACATCGCCACCCAGGGCTGGTTCATTGGGCTCATGTGTGCCATCGCCCTCCTGGTGCTGATCCTGCTCATCGTCTGCTTCATCAAGAGGAGTCGAGGTGGCAAATACCCAGGTAAGATGTATCGGAGGAGTGGGCTTGGGGGAATGGGCCGGCAAGCTTTCTGGGAGCCAGCAGGTCTCAAGCCAGATCCAGAGGCTCTGTTCTCCCAGTGAGCCCAGTCCTGGCCCAACTTGGACATATAGTCCTCTTGCTGAGTGTCCATGCGTCCTAGAGCTGCCAGAAAGCATCTGAGTTGGTTAAGTCCCCCTGAGGTGGGTGGATGGCGAGGTCCAGGCAGCTCCAAAGAGGGGGTGGAAGGAGCCCTGACTCCTATTAAGAATGACCTTCCATCCCCTTGACTCACCATCCATCTGCTCAGTAAATGGGCTTTTTTCAGCCTGAATCTCATTAGGATCCTGTGTCCCAAGGAAGGAGGAAGGAAGAAAGGCATTTTCTCTCACCATGAGAGAGAGAACAGAGAGGGGAGGGTCTGGATGGAGGAAGTGCACCCGTGAGAGAGGCTCTCGGTGACCGTGACCGGACTGTAATGATAGATATCCCAACAGAGGGCCAGGAGCTCCTTGCATGCAGAGGCTGAGGGGAGGCTGGCGTTGATACAGACCCCGTCGGTAAAGAGCTCTGGGCTTCCCTAGAGTCCCAAAGAGCCATTTCTCTTCTGGGGGCCCCAAGATCCACGAGCCCAGACAAATCAAGGTCTGGCATTCTTGCTTCTGGAAATATTGATTGTTTTTCAAAGAGGGGCAACAAAGCCATCTGTCTGTGATGGGGTGGCTAGAATGACAGAAGACAGGCTAATGGATGACCCAGGGAGTGAAAATCCTGCTGGGCTGCAGAATGAAACTGCTCCCTGCTCCCCAAAGCTCCATCGACAAGCACAGCCTGTGCTCCCCAGATGCCTGCCTCTCCCCACCTCTAAACAAGTCCTCCTCCAGGGTCCCCCTAAAAAACTCAACCCAGAGAGAAGATTCTGTTTTATTCCCTTCCCCTGCCTGCATACCCTCAGACCCTAGGATTCTAAAGAGTTCTGCCTCTGCGTTAGGTGAGGGAGATGTCTGTGAGGGAGGGCAGGAAAGTATCATTCTTCATTGGCAAAGGGCTTTTTTTTTTTTTTTTCACTTTGTTGTGCTGTGCTGGGATTGTTTTTCTCATATAAAAGAGAAAGCAGTCAGGGAGAAGAGCATCCTTACTGAGCTCATCCCCACCCTAACTCATCAGATAACCTTTGAGCCTCCCTTTGCCCATTTAGAAAGTGTTCCTCTCCGGAAAGTTCTCCTCACAGCTTATCGTGCTAGTGTGCTAGAAAGATGAGCAAACCATGAGGCCCAGGCTCTTGCCTTCACGCTAGACTTTATTCAGTTACCAATGAGTTATGTGACATGTTCTTCACCTCTGAAGGGCTCAGTCTCCCTCTCCTAAAATGGGGGAGATGATCCTGCCCTGTACCTCAGAAAGGATGCGTAGTCATGTGCGTACGTATTCCTGTGTGTCAGGCTCTGTGCTGGGTGCTAAGGGCACTAGAAGGAAAGGTGATCTCTCCATCAAGACACTGCAGCCGGCATAGCAGGAAGATCACAACCCAACCAGACAGGCCTTGGGTGGGTGTGTGCAAACCACAGAGGAGGTGTGGGAAAAGAGTCACACGTGCTAGTGAGATCACAGACGTGAGAGCCTTTTCCACTCCAGAGATGGAGTGTCCTCTCTGCCCAGGGCACTCTGCTGGGGGCCTTGTACAAACTGTGCATAAACAATTATCCTACAGAGCAGAATAAGACAGGTGCCAGAGAGGGTCACATCCATTCAGTGTTTAGGGGTGACCCCATGGAGAGGTGCGGGGAGGAGATTTCAGTTGTCAACAGAGATGTGCAGAAGCACTGGGGATGAGGTGTCAACTTGACAGCTGGTTAAATGTGGGAAGCAAGAAGGAGGGAGGCATCGATGGTACCTCGTTGAAAGGGAGAGTGACACTGACTCCACGGTCGGGGCCCTGTGGAGCAGGAGCATAATCACCAGATCTGTGTCTTTGCTTCTCTCCTTGGCCAAGTGCGAGAAAAGAAGGATGTTCCTCTTGGCCCCGAAGACCCCAAGGAAGAGGATGGCTCCTTTGACTACAGGTGGGTGATCCGTTTGGCCCATGGCCCCCGTCCCACCATGCATCCGGTTGTCACCTCTGCCTCTCTGACAGCTCCTCCTTGTCCTGAGTGTACTAGGCAGGGCTGCATCCCCACAGGAAGGACGTTCCTGGCACACTTACATGGATTTGAGGGACAGGTTCCTCTCATTCAACAGCACAGCTCAAATTTATTGAGTTCCTTAGATGTGTGTTTCGCGTCTTTCCTCTGAAAGCAGACACTGGCAATGCTGTTGCTGTGAAATGAGCTGTTGGCTTCCTCTCTGTGCCCACACCGCCCCCTCACCCTAAAGACAGTGACCGGAGAAGCTGTATTGTCTTGAAACCTCAACTCAGTGAGGGATGAGTGATGGTGGTGGCCATGAGGGTGAGGTGTTCTAGACCTTTTCCTCATGAACTTGAACAGTTCTTAGAGAGGCAACTGGTTGGGGCCTATCACAAATCAGAGGACTGAGGCCCAGACAAGGAAGTGACCTGGTTACAGTTCCCCTGCACACCTGCTGCCCAGTGAGCTTATGGCAGAGCTGGAGAAGCCAAGGCCCGACTTCCAGCTCTGTGGTCCTGCAACATCATGATCCCTCTTAGATCTATCTGGGTGGGCCTTTGCGGCTGGCGTCACACAGTTGTCATCTCCCATTTTGATGGCAAGTGTATTCTGAGTTAAGGAATGATGCGCAGTGGGTCACGGAAGCCTCGTTCCCAGACCAAGGCGGATGGGAGGAAAGGCTCTGATTAGAGCCCTACTTCCCCACCTCTACCCTGTTACTCTCTAGGGCAAGACCACCCTGTCTTCCCCTGACTTCTCCTTATCCTATCCTCAGCCTCCACCACTCTGCTCATCAGCAGCCTGGTGGGCAGATGCTGCCCAGAGCCCCTGCCCACCCAGGAGCCCATCTGGAGGCTTATGTACCACATATATCTTACAGTCCCAATATCTCCTAAAAGGGCAACGAGGAGAGAGGCCCCTCCCCTGACTGTCCCCAGCATCCCTGGCAGGGCCCATCTTCCCCTTGGCCTGAGACCTACTCCCTAGCCACCAGTTCCAAAGAACACGGGGTTTCCCTCCCATAAGCCCTCCGTGCAACAGAGAAGGGGTGAGGCCCTCCTGTGCTAAGAGAAGCTGCTTCCTCAGGCACCTCTCCTCCCCCAGACACCGAAGCTGTTGGGCAAAAATATCTGCCTTCTTCCCACCCACTCCCCTGTGCCACCCACACTGAGGCTGGATATACATACACAGGTGCACCCATGCACCCATGAGCCCACACGCCGCGGATGCACAGGCACATGCACACACACACGCACACACACACACCCGCCTCAGTGTGAGCTCCGCAGCCAAGCACCTTGCTGGGGCGTCTCTCTGCTTCTCTCTCCCTTGTCTCTCCACCTGTTTCTCCAAGGTCTCTTGGGAAGATGGGCTGACAGGGAGTAAGAGCAAGGTCCCCCTAGTCATTCTGGTTCCTTTCAAGCTTCCCTTAGAAGAGGTCTGTTCTTTCCAGGTCTAGATTCTCTTTCCCTATAAGAACCTGACACACTAAAGCCCTTCCCTCTGCCGCCCACCCAGGCTGGGCCATTACTGTCCAGTGGCTGCAGGCGGCTTAGGTACCTGGAATCCCCTAGGATCACACAGACACAAACCTCATGCTCCTGGGAGGGAGCGCATGTAAGAAGAGACCCATGAGTGGGGCATGGACCAGGAAGAAACTGCTAGTTTTCAAAACGTGAGTCCCCACTCCCCATATGGACTCAGAGGAGCCCTATAGGCCTGCTGCTTCTCACGTAGCACTGCCAGCAGAGAACACAGGCCCGTTCCTGGGGCATAGAGGGAGTAGCTAATAGCTGTCCTTGTACTAACGCCCAGCTCGGCCTCTGGCTCCAGGTCCTCCCCTGACAGCTGTCTCTGCCCAGCACTACTGTCAGAAGCCAACATGCACTGCCCACTGTAATGGCAACTCAGCCACTTGTCCTCTCCCCCTTACAAACACACACCCAGGAAGGACTCAGTGTGGCCTGGGGGCCAGGGAGGGGACATTGTGTCGCACTGCAGTGGCCTCACCTGCTGGGACCCAGACTCACACTGCTGGCCCGGCTGCCTCCTGCCTACGGGCTCCCTCCCCTCTGAAGTGCAGCCAGCAGCACCTGGACCCCCTTCTGAGTCAAAGGACCAAGAGTCTTGCAGCCAGGGGAAGGGATGTTGTGCCTGAGCAGACACCAGCTGCTGGGGGTAGGGGGGTCTCACGTCTCGGGGGCGCTGCAGGCATCCCAGCAGGTAGATGCCGCGTTGACCACCAGCCTGCCAGCTCTCCTTGCACAGGAAGGGTGGAAGGGCTGGGCCTGAGGGCCTCCGAGGAGAATCCTTGGAGCCTTGCTGGGCTTTGTCTCAAGCTGCTGGCGTGCACGGTCCTATGTATGCCCCTCCCCTTGCCCCACCCTCGCTCACTTGAGGCCCCAAACATCTGCTGGTTGATAAATCAGAGAGCAACAGAAACCACAGCAAGGTGAGAAGGGGAGAGGCAGGAGTGAGGTTTGTTTCCCCATGACCTGGACCTCTTGCTTTTCATCAAGGACAGAGCCTTTTGAGACAGGGCCACACAGAGAGTCAAAGCTGGTTCAGCCCCTCCTGACAGAGAGATGAAGGCCCAGTGAAACCCTGGAAAGGCTTTCCCAAGACCACAGAACCACACAGTGACACACGGGAGACTAGCATCCCAGCTCCTTGACCCATCCCGCCTGCCCGGCCTCACAGGCTGCTGACTCTTCTTGCTGTGGGGTGGCTGTCCTCTGTCCACTCGCACCCCAGAGAACAGCCCAGCCTCATGAAGGGGACCCCAGAGCAGGAGCCCAGAAGCGTAGGCCCAGCTCTGCGCCGCCTTGCCACCTCACCTGGGAGAAGATGCTGATCCTCTCCAGGCCTTGGGTCTCCTTCTGTCATCCAGCCGGACGGGGGAGGTCAGGGGAGTAGGGCAGGGTGGGGCAGCTGACCAGTGACCTCAGAGCTTCCGTCTCTGAGCAGTGTAGCACCCATGCTTGGCAAGAGACTAGTGGCCCCGTTCTGTCCCACCTGGGTTTCAGCAACACTGGACTGGGCCAGGCCCTTGATTCTCTGTCTCTCTCTGGCCAGTGACGAGGACAACAAGCCCCTGCAGGGCAGCCAGACGTCCCTCGATGGCACCATCAAGCAGCAAGAGAGCGACGACAGCCTGGTGGACTATGGCGAGGGTGGCGAGGGGCAGTTCAATGAGGATGGGTCCTTCATCGGCCAGTACACGGTCAAAAAGGACAAAGAGGAGACAGAGGGCAATGAAAGCTCAGAGGCCACATCGCCTGTCAACGCCATCTATTCTCTGGCCTAACGGAGCCCTCCTGCCGCCCAGGGCGCAGCCTCTACTTTGCAAGTGGGAGGAAGGGAGAGGGGGAGACGAAGCCACCGCAGACCTACCACACAGCCTCCACCGCCTTCAGGGACCAGGGTACAACACGGGGGTCTGCCGAGCTGTGAGGACCAGTGACCACCCAGCCAACCGCAAGCCCCCTCCCGATGACCCCCTGCACCCTCCGAGGTGCCACCATGTGGGAGAGCTAGAGTCCTGGCTAAGGTCAGCCAGAGAGAGTCCAGCCCTTTGCTCAGCCTCACAGCCACCTTGAGCCTTCCACCCCCACTGCCCACCCTTGACCTCGGCACACACACTCCCCCGTTTCTGTTGGTCATGGCCCTTCACGTTATCTTCATATTTGCTTTGTGGGTCCCCCCCATCCAGACCCAGCATCTCCATTTTCTTTTCCTTTTGAAGAAATGTCCCTGGACAAAGAAAAAAAAATAGGTGGATTCTCCCCCAGAGAGGCAGAAGGATTGACCTGTAAAAGAACTACCTAGAAAAGCTGTTAGTATTCAAACCGCCAGTGGGCCAGTGTATTTCCGAAGGATGCCTTTCTCGCCAGATGCCTCCCGTGCCCCCAACCCATTCGCCTTGGCCTTGTCCGTTGCTGAGCTGGGCTTGGCTCCTTTCTGGAAAAATGACAGTATTTTTGGCAGGGAGACAGCAGGCAGGCCCCCTTGCCTCGCCTGGTTCAGTCGGGAGGTGGGCCTACCTCTTGCTCCTTGCTCTCACCCGGCCACTTCCTCCAGAGTGCCCAAGACGAGAGCTGCGCCGGCTCTGCAGAAGGGGTCTGAGGAAGAGGTGTGGGCGCTGATGGGGAAGGGCCGTGTCCCACCCGCAGTGGCTGTGTACCTCCAGCAGAAGGGGACCAGCCGTCTGGTCCCTGGGGAGCTGTGCTCACCTCAGAAGAGAAGGAAAGAGTTGGGTTTGGACTTCCTTCCTCCCCGTCGGTGAACCCAGGATGTGGGAGCAAGGACCATGCCTGCTGCCTCCAGGGTAGAGGGTGTCCCCGACCTGGTCAGGGATCTGCACAGCTACCCTCGTGGAGACGGAACCATGCAATGCAGAAGCTCTGCTGGTGTGTTTGGGGGTGTAAGGTGCTGCTCCCCCTTTCATCTCTAGCAGAGAGCATCTCCTTGGGCAGTTCTGTAAGGCGCTGATACTTGTGTTTCACACAGTGTGTGGATCGGGGCTCTGCCACCCCTCCCCCCCAGGACTAAACCAGTGTGTCCCCTCCTCTGGGTATTCACATATCAGGAGAGCCCGTGGGAACACCACCCCGACCGCGCTGTGGAGCCTGGCCTGGGGACCCCGTGCCCTCCGTATGCCTTATGCAGCTCTGATGTGGCCCTGCAGCTTCCCAGGTTCCCAGCCCCTGCCTGCAAGCCTCGAAGCCTCCAGCGACGTCTGTCTCCAGGAGAGGGAGGCGGCCCGCTCAAGTGTCCCTGCAGGACCAGAGCAGCCACTGGACACGTGCCCTGCAACCCATTGTCCCAGACGGAGACCTTCACAGACTGCAGCTCTCAGAGACCCAAGGCGCGGGCTTCATCCTCCCCACCTAATCCAGTTTTGAAACCAAAGGTACCTAGCCTCAGAGAGATCTTGAGCCGAAGAGCAACCCGATAGCTGTTGCTGCGGCTAGAGTCGGTTTCGGGAGGGTGAAGCTGACCCCTGGTACCGGACTGCCTGCCACAGGCCCAGCCTCTGATTGGAGCCTCGAGCTACTTGCCGGGGAGCCTGGGCAGGAACGGGGCTGTGTCCTTCAGAGACTCGATTAAAGCATCATTTGCCACACGTTTAAGCCACAAAGGTATTAGCAGTGCTTGCATCACTCAATAATCAGTCAGTTGAAGGCAAGCCCATAGACACGTGTGCTCGGTCTGCAGGTAAGAAACCATAGGCCAGAGCTGAGCCGATTATGTTGTTTGAACCTGAGAGCAGGTAACTGTCCTTTGGCCCAGGCCAGGGGCCCGAGGGGCAGCTCTCTCATGGTGAAAGGGGACAGGGTGAATGACGGGGGGCCAGGAGAGAGCTCGGGGTCCCCCACCCTGGCTCTCCTCTGACACCTGCTTGGATACAGCTGGGAATTCCTGCAGCCTATGCCCAGCATCCCTCAAGGAAATGTCAGGGAAGTGTGCCTGTAAACTGAATTAAAGGACCGGACTTTCCAGGAAACACATCTAAGCAGAGCAGCAGCCAGTGTCCCAGGCCCTCACCCCATGCTACACCATACACACTAGTGAGCTCCTTGCACCACATACGGGCTCAGAGGGTGAGAGGACTATGCGCCGTCATGGTACCCGTGCCCCTGCCACCCAACCAAGGACCGCAGAAGGGGCTTCTGCTACTGTGGGGTCTTGGGGGAAGCGATTCCTCAGCCCGTGTGCTCCTCGTTTGTGTCCTGCCAGCTCTGAGCCACCCCCCGCTCCGCGTAAAAAGGCAGTGCCAGCAGCCACGTGGAGAGGCTGTGGTGTGAGGACACTGAGCACCACCCCCCAACCCCCGGCCCCCGCATCACAGCCCTCCCGGCAAGCAAGAGCCAACGGAGCCTAGAGAACCAGTTTTCCCCCAAGCAGAGAGGCTTAGAGAGCTGTGTGGATTGCAGGGTTAGGGAGCAGCCCTTCCAGGAAGAGGAAGCCCGTTTCCCATGAGCCCCGGCCAGAGCCCACACAACACAGCTTAGCAGGAAAGCAGTATTGTCCCGCACTCCCTGCCAGCTGGGGCTCTTCAGCAGCCACCGGAAAACACACCAACCCTGGTGCCAGGAGACGGTGACACTGTTGGTGCTTCTGCCTGCCTGGCTCTTGGGGGGGGTGTGGGTCATCTTGGAGTGACCCTAGACATCCCACTTGCCATGCTCAGCCCCAAGGGCTGTGGCTTCCTGTGCTCCCGTTTGTCCACTCATGGGCCAGGAGATACTCTTGAACACCGAGTCTGAGCCATAGTCAGGTGCAGCCCTGCCCTCCCAGGGCTGGCAGTCCTGGAGCTGAGAGCCGGGATACAGTGGACATCGATTAGGAGCACCCTGCGTGCTTAAGCCCTCAGTGGCTCCAGGCGCAAAGGGAGAAGCTTCAGGGAGCATGTGTGGTCCACAAAGCTGAGCGAGACGGGGTGGTCAGAGCCTGCAGCTGGGGCTGAGGACCAGTCCTGCTTCCTGAGCCTCTTTGCTCTGCCCCTTGGGGCAAGTTGCTTAACCTGTCTGTATGTTGGTACCTCTGCCTCCCTGACGTAGTCTCTCCTTTGACTACCTCTCCCCACAGAGGGGCAAGAGCCCACCCAAAGGAGCAGGGAGGCCAATCTCTGAGGACAGCACCGCAGGGCCCAGGGGCAGCTGCCTCCCACCTTGCCTGGCTTTTAGTGAACGGAACCCATCATTCCCTGAGGTTCAGTTTAAGGGCAAACCAGGTCTTTCCTTTGTCCATTGCCTCTGCCCTGGGAGGTGGGAGGCATCTGGTCCACCTCCTTCCTGGCAAGTCCCAAGGTCTGGAGAAGTGCCCGCCTGTCCGAGAGGCAGCCAGTGCCAACGCTGCTCACCCTGCTAGGGGTATCTGCAACCTGGGCCAGATACTGCTTTCATAGTTTCCCCGAACGCAGCCGTAGAAAAGGGTTGAGGATATGTGTGGGCTTTCCAGTGAAGGGGCTGTCTCCCCTGCCCACACCCAGCACCCACGCATGGCCATATCCACACGAGCGCACACACAGCACGGAGGGTGCTTTCAGGGGGGCACAATACAGATTATGACATTGCCTTAGGGTGAATTCATGCCCTGACCCGCTTGAGATGAGATGTGAAGGGCTGCATGGGGTGCAGTGTGGCATTTGGGGTTGGAGGGCAAACAGGCTGCCCAGGTTGGACCCCATTTGGGTGATTCGTGCAGGCAGGTCTGAGAGAGGGTCTGATCATGAAAGAGAGGGAACCTTCCCCAGGAACAGCCGTAGGACGGAAGGAGTAAGCATTTAACACACTTTGCCTCAGTCTTATTAGGCTGCATCACCTAACACTGAAGTGGGGGGGCTCCTCAGGCTGTCATGGGAGGGCAGCACGTTCCTTGGATGCTGGCACAGAGCATGCTCCCCATCCATGACACCTTGGTCACCACTCCTGCAGCCCCTGCCAAACACACACACTGGTCTGCTAGGAAGAACCCCCTGGGGGATCCTGGTTGAACTTCGCACAGTGGCTTAGAAGTAGCATGTAGGAGGTCCCTGATTTAAAAAAAAAAAAATCAGAGGAGTCACATGAATGAAACAAAAAGCTTGACATGTCAGAAGGTGACAGTGTCCTAGGCAGAGCCCAACTCCTGGCAGCCCCATCCCCTAAACCAGGCAGGGGCCAGTCCACAGGAGTTCAAACCAACCTTGCCGTTGTCGCCAGCCCACCCCGCCCAGGCCAGGCAGCATCCTTCCTTCTCTCCCCTGTTGGGAACAGCCCTCCCGAGATAGGTTCAGAGAAGGATCAGAGAGAAGGACAACCACCCAGGGAAGCCACGAGACCCCCCCAAGCAGTGTCTCGAGCCACACCCCAGGGCAGGGCACCTCCATCGACTCAGTAGTATTAAACGGCAGTCCTGGGATGCTACTGGGGGAAATGAGCTCAGCACCAGGGTGTCGCTCTGGGCAGCTTCAGATTGCAGCCCGCGGAGGGATCACAGAGCTCATCTCACGGACCTGACTCTTTACACACACGAGGACACTGACATCCAGGGAGGGGTCACTCGGCTGGTAAATCAGGGTGAGGGGAGGGCTGAACCTGGGCCTTCGGACTCCTGGGCCCCGGCTCTCCACCCCCTGCAGGTGCCTCCTTGGAAATAGGGGTGTGGCTTCACATGTGTCCTGCTGGTTCGCCCTCTGTACCTCCTCTCACTCCTCCCCACCCCCACCCCCACCTGCCTCCCCAAAATGAAAGACACAGGATTTTTCTGAGGCCGAGACCAGTCTGCTGCAGCCCGTGGCGAGGCCAGTGGTGCCAGGCAGACCCCGGGCCAGGAGAGTGAGCAGCGGACCGGTGTTTGTCACTGTGAAGTCTCGACTGTACTCTAGAGTGGCGTCTCTTGTTTCATGACACTTGGGGCCCTCGGTCGTGGGGTCGTGGGGTGCCAAGCAGGGCAGCAGGGCCGCCGACGCTCTGTCAGCCCCAGGAGTTCGCTGGGCTGGAGTTCAGCACACCTAAAGAGTTCAGTGAAGCAATAAACACAAAAATCTGGGAGAAGAAATCCAGAATTTTGTGCCCTACACTGTTTTTTGTTTTGTTTTTCAAAAACGATGCCGATCGATGACCCGCCCCTGTTCTTTTTCTCTGCTCCCCATCCCCCGGTTGGTTGTCCTTGGTCAGTGTTGCCCCTGCCCAGCCCCCAGCTCTTTGCCAACCTCACTCTGCTCCTGGGCTGAGCATCAGAGGCCAGAACCGTGGCCGCCTTCGCCCGGGGGCACCCCAGGACCTCTTGTCCCGCCTGCCCGGCACCCGCCCGCCCAGCCCCGCCGCCAGCGTGCGAATGTTCCTTCCAGGGGAGATTTTCTTTTTCCCAACGTCTCTGCCCACCCGCACACGCGCACACGCGCACACCCACAAAGCAGTCTGATCTTTTTTCCATCGGCTAAAGACTTAACTCTCCATGGCAGGCCTCCTTTAACCCCTCTCACATCGTGTTCTTTCCTCTTGGCGAGTTATTTTGCATTAACCGACACCGTCAGCGACAGACGCGTATCTGGGGGGTCACGCAGGACCTTCAGCAGGGAAGACTTTCGGGCCGCGGAGGATCATCTAATACGTGGACTTATAAACTGACTGCATGAGCAATGAAAAGGCCAAATTATTCAGAATTTTTTTTTTTGGAGTCACTGTAAAAAAAAAACAACAACAACAACAACACAAACACCACAAACTGATTTCTTTTGTATAGAGAACACTAAACGTATAATAAAAGTTGTTCAAAATGGACTCTGGCCAAGGGACCTGTTCATTTCCTTAGTTCATGGAAAGAGGGAGAGCGGTGTCACGACTAAGAACACAGGGAACCAAAAAGAAGGTTTCTCAGGGATCCCTGGGCGGCTAACAGCTTAGCACCCGCCTTCAGCCCAGGGCGCGATCCTGGAGACCCGGGATGAGTCCCACGTCGGGCTCCCGGTGCATGGAGCCTGCTTCTCCCTCTGCCTGGGTCTCTGCCTCTCTCTGTGTGTCTCTCATGAATAAATAAATGTTTTTTAAAAAAGGGTTTCTCACGGACACCAGCTGGCACCCACTTAGGGAATTCTGCAATACCAGCCCCCATCTCGAAGTTAGTCTTAACCCTGGAAGCCTCATTGGCATAATTTACATTTTGGCTGTGCGGTGACCCACAGGGAGATGTGGACAGCCACGGAGATACCCCGATTCAGCACGACTGCATGTGTGCTTGTGCACCATGTAGGAAGTGCCGTGGACACTGGGAGGGGGAGTGTGCAATGAACCCCTGCGTCCTATTCCCTCTTTCTGCTCCCCTGCCTTAGATGAGAGAACACCAGCACGTTTCATGTTGTTGAAAGAATGAGTAATCCGGCCTGCAACAGACCAAACCCCCCTCGCAGGAGACTCAAAGGAGTCTCAACCAACAAGAAAAAAAGGGGAGGGAAAGAGGCAGAGAGGGCTGTGTTGGGTGGGGGCTGGGGGGCACAGATCCACAGTGACACCTCCTTTCTTGATTCATCAGCCTGGAGTTGGGCTAATTCTTATGGGGCCGTCACCCAGGCAGGATGAATGGCGAGGGACCCCATTGTCACTCCCCTCCCTCTGCTCAGGGTGCTGTGGGGGCTAAAGAGTAGGAGGTTGCTCTGCTCACTTGGAAGTAACACAGTTATCTAACTGATGGTTTACAGGCAGAAATAGGTGATAAGGACAAAGGATTCCCCTGAAAATGCAGGCCCAACTCTCCAGGATAAAGGACCACCAGGTCCTTTCCAGCCCACCTGTGTTTACTCTCCCTTCAAAAGTCCTCAGAACTCTCTCTCTCTCTCTGTGTGTGTGTGAGTCTATCATAAATAAATAAATAAATAAATAAATAAATAAATAAATAAATAAATAAATAAATAAATAAATCTATCTTAAAAAAAAAAAAAAAAGGTCCTCAGAACAGTTTGGGACCTGAGGCCTTATTTCCGGATCTGGCTCCTCCTGAATTTTTGGGTACCTCATTGGGTGTGCCACACAACACCCCTGAACCTCCCTGTTCACTCCTTGGAATACAAGAAAGATCTTTTTCTCATCACTCTCAAGTGCACAATCTGTCTTTGAAATTTGCCCTCCACCCCACCTGTAGTCCAAGCCCCCATCCCAAATTCATAGTGTCCTTACCTCTCCTGTTACCTACTTCCCACTCAAAACTGCAGCCAAAGGATCTTATAAAATGTGATCGTGTCACTTCTTAAACTTTCAAGTTTGCTACAATACCTTCAGCCGACTACAGTAGAATAAAATCTTAATGCCTTGGCTTGGCATGTTAGGCCTTTTGTGACCTGACCCCTCCTTCCACAGCCCTGTTTTTTACCCTCCTCCACATATACCCTAAATTGTAGCCATTCCAATCTGTTTCCTGCTCCCCTTGACATGCAGTGATTTCTCCCATTTCTCAGCTTTGGCAATTCAATTCCACCTAAAAGAACTTATTAATAACCTACTCCGTGCTAATTAATGCTGTAAGGTAAGCAGGATGGAGCTCTAGTCCTCAGGAAGCTCTAGTCCTCAGACTGTCATGAGAAACAGTCAAGTAATCAAAAGCACTGGTGTAGGGTCCCTGCCGGGCTCAGTCTATGAAGCATGCAAGTCTTGATCTCAGGGCCACATGCCATGTTAGGACTAGGCTTTTCTTTCAAAAAATTAAATGTTATTGTATTCAGGGCAAAGGGTTCAATAAATGTGGGTTCAATGAATGAATGAATGATGGCCCAAAGGTAGGTCTGCTTGGTACACCCTCCTCCTGGCCTTCCACACGCCCCCTCTAGATAAGCCATAATCACTGTAGTTGCTGCTCACAATCAGCCCCTTCACCACCTGATTCCTGATTCCACCCCCTTTCCTCGCTCCTACTCCAAACCCCTCCAATCTCCTTTCTTTTATAGATCATCTCTCCAGTGGCATCTGTGCTGGGTCACAAAATCCTGATCTTTAACAATTAGCTCAGGTGATACTGAGCCTAGGAAGTCATCCCCCTACCTGATATAACACACACACACACACACACACACACACACACACACATCACAAACTGGGCTGAATTCTCTGGTTCAGACCCCTCGCTCCACCCCCAGCACATCCATGTTATGTCTGCCCCAGAGGGTCTGCCTACATGAATTGCCTATTTCCTTCCCTAAATTGTGAACATCCTGAGTATGAGAGATTTTTTATCTGTGTGCCACAGGCCAGCAGCCAGTGCACAGCAAGGACAAAATGAATGAATATGAATGGGTGAACAGATGAATGATGGCACCGTCGTTCCTTTGAAGGAAGTGACTAGGTGAATTCAAGACTTCTGTGTCATCTTCCTTGCATGTTGGACTTGGATTTGACTTTTCTGGGGGCCACGGGCAGTCCACGGGCCCACTTTTAGAGCAGGAGCCCCCCCCCCCACTCAAGGAGACAGAAATGGCTTATTTGAAGAAAGCCATCCTCAATTCAACGGAGGCCAAACAAAGCCGTCTCTTCAGGGCCCAAGGGATTCCCAGAATATGTCATCCCTCATCCCCGTCTCCTGAAGGCTGCGCCTCCCAGCCCATTAGAAATGCTAATCTCCAGCATGGAGCTGGATTAACGGACCCAGTGGGAGGGGACGAGTCATCTTCCAATCTTCATTAAGAGTGAAGGCTCTACCCCATCTTGCCCAGCTGCCCCCAACGGGATGGGATCTGGGAATTCATTATAGCGCCTCTCATCAAGGCAGCCACTACTGCTCAAAACCATATTAGGTGGAGGAAGGTAGGGGAGGCCCATTGTAGCCTCCCCTCCCCACTTAATGCATCAGAGCCCATTTGTTTGATGTCAGTTCCTGCTGGAGCGCGGACCAGGCTGTGGGCCTCAGAGCAATTTGGAGCCACAGCTGAGGCCCAACAGCCTGGCTCCCAAGCTCCACTTTCACACCTCCCCACCCCCCACCCCCGCCCCTGAACTTGCTGCTGATTAGCCCCAGACCCCAGGGCAGGGAAGCCGGGCATTGTGTAGACAGAGGGACAGTCACTCTGAAGCAAACAAGCGAAGTTACTTAGCACTTAGCGTATATTTAAAATCACAATTGCCCTCTAACAAAGCTGAATCCTATTCAGTGGAGGGTCTGGGACTGACCTGGGTAGGAAGTTTGCAGATAGGCAGCAGGAGAGTCCTGCGGTATTAGAGAGGGGAGCTTCTGGAACTCCAGGGCAAGAACTGGGGGGCAGACGAGGAGCAGAGACAGGCAGAAGGAAGATTCACACTTCTGTAAGTAGAGCCCCTCCACCAGCAGCATCAAGATCTCCAGGGAATGTATAGAAATGCACATTCTTAGGCCCTACCCTGATCAACTGCATCAGAAGCTCTGGAATGTGTTTTAGCAACCCCTGCAGGTGATTGTGATGCAGGCTAATGTTTGAGGACCACTAGATCAGAGGGACTGGGAGAAGACAGGGTACTCCGGCATGAGTCCCCTCCCCGTGCGCCCTGAAGTGCCAGTGCACCCAAAGAATTCGCATCATGTGAGCGGATCTTTCATAGAAAGTGGCAAAGCTGGTGAAGTCTACACACAAATGGATGCAGGGTGAAGCACAGACCCCAGGAGAATGCAGGGCTCGGAACACAAACCCCCAGGAATTAGCAAACGTTCTGGGGGAGTCTTCGACTTTCACAGAGCATGGAATTGGCGGGGAACTGATCCATTTTCATCCATGTCAAAGAGGCAAGAGGGCACCAGATGGTATTTGGGTCACAAAACATTTACATTAAGTGACTTCAGAGAAGAGTCACTAATGACGTTGACGCCAGCCGCCAGCCGTCTGCGTGGGGAGAGAGATGTGCGCTTTATGCAAATCCTCTCCTGTGACCCTCGGGCCAGCCAGGCCTGCAAGGCAGGTAGGTTATATCCTGTCTGTCTGACGCTAGAACCCCGTGCTTTCCAGAGCACTCGGGTGCGTACGGGTGTGCATCTCTGTAAAGCACCGGGCCTGGCGCTCTGTGCTTCAAAGGCATCGAGTCAGAGCAGCCCCTGTCGGCTCTTCCGACGGCCCGGCCCGGCCACAGTTTGCCCCCTACTACTCTGCTCTGCTGGGGGGGCACATGCAGGCTCCCGACCCCACCCCAGGAGAGCCCAGGAGGGAGGGTAATGGGTGCAGTGCCACTCAGTGGTCACGTGATGACGGGGCTGGTGAAGCCATAGGCGCTCATCCTGCTCCAGGTCTGCCTTGAGTACCAGGAAAAGAAGAGCCAGGGCTTGGAAGATAAGTCGGGCACTAGCTGTGTGACCTCCGGCAAGTGCCATACCCTCTCCTTGCCTTAGCTTCTTCACCCATAAAACAAGGACTGTAACTAGCTCTCTCATATGTTGGTGTGAGGATGAAATCAGTTAAAACGTGGAAAGTTCTAAGAAGAGTGCCTGGTGCATGGTACGTATTATATAATGATTTGTTAAATGAATCCCCTTAGGCTTTGCCTTTCTTCTGCATACTAGAATGGTCTCCCCGGCCTCTACTTCTTCCTTCAAAAGCCCTCCCCATCCTTCTAGGCAGGCTCAAATCCCACCTTTCATGACCAGTTTAGCTGCCAGGGCTGTTTCTCTCCAAGGGGCTGCTCTTGAGCTCCCCCCTCCCCCAACCCTCCCACCTTGGCCTTCAGTATAAGTTCTCAGTTCTTGCTACTACTGCAGGGACTTTTGTCTCTTCTATGCCTGGCCAGTCTATGAACTCTCAAGGACAGAACCAGTACTCATGTCTGCTTG